AGAAGGCAGGAGAACTTGCGGAGGGCCTTATGCGAATGGTCGTCGAGGACGACGATGGCGGCAGGGGAAATGTGGGATTGGCCTTCATAGTTGAGTGCTTGAGAGGAAAGAGGCTACTGGGCGCGGTTCGGAGGATGAAGACTCTGACGAGGTGTTGAACGCCAAATGCTTGCGATGGCTGGAAGATCTGGGAGAAGGCTGAGACGAGTCGCGAGCCGCGGGTGTGTCAGAAGTTATGCGAGGGGGAAGGAAGATGGTGGGAGGAGTAGATTTGACTGGAATGCGTCCGGGTATAGGCCTACGGAGGGTCGAAGAGCTCGGAAGAGCGGCATAGAGCTGATGGAAGTGACTTGAGTGACTCCAAAGACCGGAGAGAGGGTTTCTTGGTCTCAAGGACGGGCTGGATGTCCAGGCATCAGGCGCAGGTTCAAGGTGGGATATGGGGCTGGAGGCGAGTTTCCGGGAGCATGTTGGAATGGACATGGAAAAGGCGTCTGTTGAGACGGGTAGAGAAGTAGGAGTATGGAGGACGGACGTGGTGGCCAGCGGATGAGGAGTGTCGGTAACCAGGCTCATTGAGAAAAAAGACAAGCTGGTGCGGAAGTGCTTCAGGAGGAGGATGCTCAGCGGGTCGTGTGCGAAAGGAGATGTGTGTTGAGGGCTGCATAAAAGTAGGATGGGGTGTCAATTAGCAGCGTTGAAATAAACCAACGGGTGCAAGGCAGCAGGCGCAGAGGGACAACTGGATTCTGGAAGGAGGGGCGGGGAAGGCAAGGTCGGCCGGGGCCTTGCAGGCGTCTGGGAGTCGGTCGTTGAGACGCGGCGAGTTAGACGGTGGATACCAGCGTGTATCTGCGACAATAGGACCAGTGTACGCACTCGCAGGAGACGAGTAGCCACGAGCGAGAGGCTCTTGTCGGAGTTTGAATAAAAATAGAACCAACACCGGTGAACACCGGACCGGGTCTCTATCTCCGAGCTTGCTTTTCAGAGGGCTGGTTCGGGCTTCCCCGTCCGGCTCGGCTTTTCGGCCCATTCGAGCTCCCCCAGACGCTCAGCCCTGCGCGATCTCTGGGATTTCGGCTCTGGCCTTTCGAGGCCTCTGCCATTTTCGAGTCTTCGAGTCGGGATTACGTAATCCCTCCTCGCCCGAAATCCCAGCGCTCCGCGCAGGTCCAGGCACCCCCACGAAACCACTGTCCACACTTTCGCATCCTCATCTCATCCTCATCTCACAGCTCCTCTTATATTTGATTCAAGCACTCCCAACTATCTTATCTTCCTCCTTCGTCGACGACGAATGGCCGGGGCCTCCCATTGCCTGCAGGCCTGCTCTTTCTCGAGAAAAGGAGCAGGATATCTCGAATTCACTGCCCTGGATCTCACCCGGGCCCTCGTACCCACACGCTCCATCATCTCGCTCATCTAGTCATCACCCATCCCCTCGCTTCATCCCTGCTCTATCATGCGCCATGCACAGACGACGACCCCATGGCCATGAAAAAGCCGAAGCTGAAAATCCGTCATCACCCCAACATATTCCTAGTCTGAACTCGGTCATGGTCTTACGCTCGCTCTCTGCCTCTTTGTCCAGCTGATCGACACGGCCTGCTGCCGCGGCCATATTCCACGGGAGGATGTAATTGTTAGGTGAAAAGCTTTCTCATAGGTGTGTTTTTCGCCGTGCTTTCCTCCCTCTCATCTCTCATCGTTGCATTCACCAGCCTTTACAACCGTCGTCTCTCCAATACCTCACCAACTTCTGCATTCAACGCCAGCCTCTAAACCCACTCACCGCCGTGACGTTTACTCAGACCAACATTTTGCGGGTTGGCGTTCTTTAAAATCGACCTTTGTTTCCCATCATACAGTATTCCCCCAAACACCGGTCTGCATTCGCACCAGACGACCCTAGGACGCATCTTCAACGTTTAAACACAGAGCGACACCCACATCTCAATATCTATTTGTTGTGCACCCAATCGGCCCTGATCACCTCTACAACCCGTCTTGAACAGAATCACCACATCCTCCCGTCCCAAGGTTACGATGGCCGCACCATGGAAAGACAGTGGTTGATTCGCGGAGGTCGATAACTTCATGCCTAGCTCTCATCAACAACATCTAATTTCAGTTTGCAAGACAATTTCCAGGTCTCCTATGCCAATGGAACTTGATACCGCCGTCGATTTGCCACCGACTCAGTGTACTGACTATACAACGACAATGCCGAGGAAGATCTAACTCCCTTTATTTTCGTCGCTGCCGACTATCGACGGTGCCTCGTCCGACCTTTGCTCTCGGTGTTGAACTTCATCGCCTCCTACCCCCCATGACAAATCCTGGAAGCCGACGAGGCCGTTGTTACGACACGATTAGAGCAGGCCTTGGAGCCCTCGTCCGTTTTCTTACCCCCGACCCTCGCTGCTGTCCTTCTTTCTGTTGGTTGATTCATCAAATTCTTTCATCAAACTTGCTCGGACCTCACCGTCGACCGAGTTCCTGATTGTCAAGTTTATTTCTTGTTGCGAGCCTCGGTCAATGTTCGATTTTAGATCTCTGTCTTGGAGAATGGGACAATGAAGTTGAACCCTTCGTCTCCTCATCTGCTGCTTATGTAATTTCGAGAAGAGAAGAAGGGTAACGACGCGAAGATTGTTTGGTTAACATACCACCATGGACGCCTAACGCCAAATGTTCGACCGTTGGGACTCCGAACCCTCAGATCTCCTTTTGCGCTCATTACGCCCCTTCTTCCAGTTAACCAATGCAACCAGTCCTATCGACAACCCAAAAACAGGAATACGGCGATTCAAGGACACCAAACATCTCCAATCTCCTGTGAGTGGTGTTCTCTGCACAGGTAAGCCGTCATCCAATTTCTTTTGTCACCCCGCCCGCCCCTTACACGAATCCCCAGATTCCGACGAAAGGTAAACTTCCCTCACAATCCGGGTGACCATTTTGATTTTGCCTAGGACGACATAACAGTCCATGGTGGTGCTATATCAGCGGGATTCAACGGGATAGTCTGTAGAGAAGGACGTCGGCGCAACGGCGCGAGGGCGGGAGAGAAGCAATGAACGGCCGGTGTCAGAGAGCGTCATGGAGGCTGGGAGCGTTGAGCACGGCCTTCGCGGAGGCGAGCAGCGATAAGCAGAGGAGGAACGGGGATGTCTGCCAGCTTGAATGCCCTTGGTGAGGAAAGATCGAGGGCAGGCGCAGAGGGACGTCCAGAAGGAGGGGTGAGGCAGGGGAGGAGGATAGACAGGCAAGGGTGCCGGTGGTCGTGAACTTGAGCGGAGGGTGTCGTCGAGCCGCGTTGAGTTAGGCAGCGGGTCTCCGCGGAAGGATAAGACAACAGAGGCCCAGTACGCACTCGCAGGGAGACGAGCAGCGGGCGGAAGAGGGAGTGTCGATGACGGCGACGAGAAGCTCCTGTCGGAGTTCGAATGAAAGCACCGGTATCTGCCGGACCGGGTCTCGATCCTTCCTCCCACCTCCTCCGAGCCCTACCGTTTCTCGAGCAAAGAAACGGATTAGTTCAAATTCACGCATCGACTCACTGACTCCCACCGCCACCACCACACAGCCCGCCATATTGAGTTTATCATCTTGGATACGCTTCGCCCTCATCTGATTTTCTATCGACCACGGACGTCTCTACTCGCCCACCCAGCAGCGACCATCCCTTCACTGTGTCCATGTTCTACCATGCACCCCAGGCCACACAACGCCTTTCAAATGGGAATCACGCTGAAGACATTTCATTGACTTGACATCCTGTCGGTCTCAAGTCGGTCAGGGTCCTACGCTCGCTACTTGTGACTCCTTGTCGAGTCGATCGACGTACCAAGATACCGCGAGTGTGCTCTATTGGAAGATTGGATCGTTGGATGGAAAAATTTGCTCATAGGTATGTTTCCTCGCCATGCCTTGGGAACCCTCGCTCATGTCTCACCTTTGTTCTAGATCGTATTGTGCGGCACCTGGGCTGAGCACCTCACTCAATGCCAACGTCCAACGCCCAACGTCCAACGTTCCATGTCAAACCTCCAACCTCGTTTCGACCGTGACGCCGACTCAGAAATTGAACGTTTTGCAGGCGGCGCTTCCCAGACTCTTGTCTACTCCCGACATGGGGCATCCACTGAAGCCCCGTTTCTATTCACACTGGACGAACCTCGAAGGCATCTTCAACACCCAGAGCAGCACCAGCACTGCAGTCCACCTTCACTCTATTTGGTTTTCGCCCTATCGGTCCTAATCCCCTCCCTAACTTATCTCAAAACGGGCCGGAGGGGGAGGAAGAGGTGCCTTGAGCCCGAGTCTGGGGTCGTGAACTTGAATGGAGGGTGTCGTCGAGACGCGGTGGGTTAGACGGCGGGTTCCGACCTAAGACAGCAGAGAGGCCCAGAGAGCTGCGTACGCACTCGCAGGAGACGAGTGGCGAAGGGAAGAGAGCGAATGTCGATGACGACGACTCGGAGAGTCCGAAGAAAAAGAGAACCGGCCCGGACCGGGTCTCAATCGGTCCTCCCACCAACATGGTTCGTCGACGACCAGCTTCCAAATTCCAAGGGTTCTAGTTGAGGACGTCTCAAGTTCGCGAGGCATGACTCGACAGACTCCCGCTGGCCACATTTTTGGCGTCCACAGTTAGCGCCCACACAAGGAAGGGCTTTCGGGGTCTTCCCAGGTGTGTGGAGAGCAACAACTTGACACGCCGATAGCTGTGATGGACGAATTCCGCACGGCAGTGTGCTTGTAGACTTCTGATCTAAGATAAGATATTCTAAATCTTGTATGATTGATGCGCTGAAACTCTCATCAAATGACAACCGCTGACGAGAACACAGTAGCCAAAGCCGATATAACAGCAGGTCCGGTGCAAGACTACGTTTTGCCCACAAGATGCCATCTCCCCGACTACCCCTAGAGTTGCTTTATGCCATCATCAGCCATCTTGGTGCAGAGAAAGACTACGCCTCACTATGTGCATGTGCTTCAACATGTAGAGCACTCGTTTCCCCCGCTCAGGCTCGTATTTTCGGCTCCTTGACCTTAAGAAAGGAGTCCCGGACCATCCCTTGGCTGGCCAAATTGCAGTCTACACCTCATATTCAGACGTATGTCAAGCATCTGCTTTTGGCCCAGTATCACAAGCCCTGGATCCAGCACTCCGAGGTTCTGCATCGCACGTTGGAACTTCTGTCCCCGTATGTCATCTCCCTCGATATCCGCCATCAAGTAGAAAACACCCGCTTCGACTTTCCTGTGTTGTCGCAGTTAAGATGCGTTGAGGAGATTTCGCTGACAGAGCGGGATCCAGAAGGTCTGGGAGATATTGTGAATAGGGATCACGCTCTCCCCACTTTCTTGAACTATTTCCCAAATCTCCGAGCAATCACTTTCAACGACTGCTGGGTGCAGGTCGAAAGGGCCAGCAAAGGCGACATTGCCGCACCAATATTCCGGTTGGAGAGGTTGTACATCCACACATGTTATGATGCTTCGGTGCTGGACTGGCTCGTCCCGGCTCTGTCATCGCTGAAAACCCTTCACGTGCAGTACACGGATCCAAACAGTATCCCAATTTTCAGTGACACTGCGCCCTCTCCCCCCCAGCTCGAATCATTGGAACATGTAGAGGTGAGAGACTTGGATCGTGCCTCCAATGCAGGTCAGTTATTTCTTTTGGCCTATGGCTGTCTCGTCACTAACCCAGCTATCATGTAGAGCTGCGGTCGCTAATGGCTGCAGTGGGTACGAACACCATTAATCTGCTCTCGATCACCTTCATGACCTCTGGATCCTCATCCGAGCATTCCCCGGTAAAGGCGGTGGTGCAATCCCTTCTCATCCTCGGTGCACATAGGCATCTCCAGCACCTCGCCATCGGGTTCTTTGAAGAGGACGACCCTGTAGACGGTAGCCCATGGGATGAGTTGCAAGACCTTCTACTTGGAGGCCGTTTCCCAGCGTTGCAAAGCGTCAAATTTCTTTTTTCGTTGTATTCGTCTGGAACTAATCCTGTGGCACCTGAACATTTCATTCACGCCGTCCCTCGACTCGCCCTAAAGAAGATGATATCTATTTGTTACGCCTGATGACAATGTAGAGAATAGCAGCCTGATTATCCCTTCTCTCCCCATCTTGTTTCCAAGTCCACACTAGAAGCTCGTTTCGCCGCTCGTACGCTCCTCTTACACTCCGAACTTCTGCCTTCTTCCCGAGTCCTGACCTTTTTCTTTTATTCGTCTCCTCGCTCCACATACGATCGCTTTCTTCCTTCACTGTTTGCTATTATCCCTCTTTTCTCGAGGAGTGTCGAAAAATCTGGAAGATCAAGATACGGAGGAGAATTTCGGCGACAGGTGAGCCGTTCTCCCCACATGCGTCAGCCTTTCCTCACACTTCAAACAGATTCCGGTCTCTAGAGTCGCTATCCTTCGCCAACCGCCCGCAATATGCGAGATTCAAAGCTCAAACTCTCAAGCTTGTGCCAGACCAGGGTACCATGCCCGCAAGCTCGCCTCGTCGCCTCGTCGACCCAAGTCCCCCGCTATAGAGGACAATCCAGGATTCATCATTCAAAGCGGGTGTTAGTTCGCTGTTGGTACCGTCAGGATTGTTCGAGGCGTGCCGCCATTGAACACGACCTTGTCTCCAGAGCAAGGGATAACTTCGTTTCGCGAGACCTTCAGGAGCTACGAATCTCGCGCTAGCGGACCGACCGACGGGTTCCGAGGCCACCCAACACGGCTCATCCTTGGCCTCGAAATCTCTATATTCATCTTCGTCAACGAAGCTACTTTTTCGACATAGCCGCTCAGTTGCGAACATCTTAACACTTCCGAACTTATCAGAACATCGAAGGAGATTACGACCCGTCGTTGCGATAGAAAAAGTCATCGATAAACATCGAACACCGCAACAGGGCGTCAGGGCCAACCTCTTTTCGAAAACAATCCTGCCCAACATCCGACTCAGACCTCAGAGCCTTTTCCATTATTAACCCCTCTTTTCTCTCTTACCACTCGCTATCAAGTCAAATCTCCGCCCGCTCTATGCTAACCCTTGGGGTTCTTCCGTCCTCGAATGTGCACCTTACTCCGTCCCCATCTCTCTGCCTGACGCCTCAACGTCAGGTCACAGCTCTGCAGCTCCATCGCTGCTGCCATTCCGCCGTCCATCTGTCCAGCCTCGGTTCTCGACCGAAGCCTACGACACATTTTCGGAGTCTAGGGAGCGAAGGTCGCCATGAGGATCTCACAGGTCGCTCAAGAGAATTCGGGTCCTAGGCTGGAATAAATTAGCGTTGTTTGCAATATTCGGACAGAATCCCCCTGGACTCAAGTCATGACCACCGACATTCTGCCTACCAAAGTCTTCGCTCTCTGTCGTCGTTATTCCACGGCCTCCTCTTCAAGCACTCGACGAGCCACCTTAAGGACATGGGCCTTTTGTATCTCCTTCAGCACAGGTGCAATACCTGCTGTAATTTAATCAGAAACTCAACGACACGAAGGGCACCAGAATTCAGAGCCTGACTGGTAATCCTCTGTAGAATTAATGCAACGCCCCAGAAGCGGCCGCGAGATCTAACGAAGTGCCCTGCTTCTAACAATGAGCGCCGACGACGAATGTGGCCCATATGCCTTTTGTGCGTACCATCCATGCTTCCACTCACCTTGGCGTGCGCCACACCATGTGGAAAGTGATCGATTAACTCCTTTCAGATGGAGAATGCTTAGTGTGCGTGGCGCAGGAGGATAACCGAACGACTCACAATTTATAGCTACGATAAAACTCAAGGAAAGAGCAGAGGTGAAGGTACGCGGACGACAAGTAGCAGGGGCGAGAACGACCACCTGTGAGGGGGTGAACCGCTGTTCTGAGCCGGGTTGATAAACAACACCTAACCCAAATGTGTAGGAACGTTGGAGTTGATGTGGACCTCCGGGAGACACTGAGGCGATCATGCGGTGAAAGATGACGGAAGAATTCGCGGCGTGATTTTCCTTCATCAACGCAGCGAGGAAAGGCATAAAAGGGAATTTGTCGAAATATCATCTGGGAAGAAATGACTTGAGAATTTACGGCGATGATACGTAGTGCGCGCCGTACCGTGCCGCTCAACTGAGCTATAGGTCATGGCCAACGGATAGTAGCGAAAACCAGTTTCATGGGCCTGAAGAGGTTGACCCGAGCCTCCGAGGCATCTCGAATCTACACGATGTCCATGCTGCATCGCAAGATCGTCTTGACGGGTGTCCAAGTCCAAGGAATGAAGGGAGAGTGGATTTAACAACCGACGGACTCGTACCTGTAACGCTGACGCCCCGATACCTCGAACAAGCCATACCACGTTTCGCCTCTACCATCCTCAATTCACTCCTGAATTTGTCAGCTCTCGCTACGAAGTCTCGTGTTCCAGTCGTTTGCCCCGCCTATGCGACACCATGATTTTGGAAGTGGAATGTGGACCTTTAGCACCGGCGGCGGCGGGTTGGCTGCGACGACGAGGGGTCGTGTTGACGCTCAAGTGCATGCCGGCAAGTTGTCGAGCAGACAGCTAAGAGTGGAGGACGAGGGCAGGAAGGATAAGCGTTGCCGAATCACGAGTAACGAGGGAGGAGGGACGGGGCAACTAAGGCTTTCGGATAGAAGACGCAGGTGGTCGGAATGATGACGCGTCCAAATGGCACGGAGGAGTGCCGAGAGAACGAAGGATGGTGGGGCGATATTCCTCTTCGGCGTGCGGTGCAAGGAGGGTTTGAACGTGTTCTTGGTCCCGAGGGCGAGTGGGGTGTTTAGGCATCAGGTACGGGACATGATAGACGGAGGAAGCAGGAGTTGCACGTGTCGGGGAGCATGTTGGAAGGGAATGGCAAAGGCGTCCGTTGAGACGGGTAGAGATGGAGGAGCATGGAGGATGGACGTGGTGGTCAGCGGATGTGTTATCGGTAACCAGGCCAGAGACTTGTTGAGGAACAGGTGAGCTGGAGCGGTACGATGTTGGCCTTAGACTGGCTGGCGCGGTGCGTCGCAGGCAGGATGTTGATCAAGCGTCTTGACTTGGACCAGCGGATGCATGTCGGTAGTGTATCCTATAGCCCTCCCGTCTTACGCTTCAGTAAGCGGACCGGGAGACGGGGGGGAACGGCTGGGGCCTTGGTGGTTGAACCAGACAGGTGGGCTTGAGCTCGAGTCTGAGGGCTGTGAACTAAATGCAGGCTGTGCCTGCCTTTCTGCCATCGGGCTATAGTACTTAGCATAATTGTGTAACAAGTAATTTTATTGACGACGCTCCTGTCGGAGTTCGAATAGCGACGGAATAGGCACAATTATATATATCCGGACCGATGCTCTGCTGTGGTTCGCCAACAACCAGCAGCTAGCAAACCTCCAAGTATGTCCGTTCCTTCTCGAATGAAGGAAGGACGTCAAACCCAGTATGGAATCACGGTTAGACAGGTGTTGAAGAATCTGCCTGAAATCGTGTGGTTGGAATGTGGTAGCAGTGGAGATGCGAGGGTTCAACGTTCAATATTCAATCCGCACGTACTTCCACGTACGTAGGCTTTCTTCATTCCTTTGGTTCTGGAAGCTGACGTCGATATTGTGCGGGGCGTACAGTCGATCAGGAACCTTCTCAAGGCGCCACTCTTTTCTCGGAACACGGCCCTTCTGCATGGTTCAATTATCTCTGGTGTGCTCAAACATCGGGCGAAATCCTCACATCTCGCTACCAGCTCGGCCTCACTCAGTTCTTGCGAAGAGACCAAAAATTCACATCTTCAACTAGTCCAACGGTGTGTCTCCTTCTCAATCACTCTTTCTCACCCCGAACTTACTTGGACGATAGGCTTGCGACAGGCATTCAATTTCTTCGCTCCTATGACCAAGCAAGGAATGTCATCGGATGTGTTCTAGGACTCAGCTAGGGTGTGTTGGCCCACAATCCGCCAACCCTGAACCGATGAAGAAAGAGAAACGTCCAGAGGAAGGAGTGTCGGGGACAAAACGAGTTAGCTCATTTGGCTAATGGGTCGAGAGGCATACCAACCGGCACAAGACACTGCCGTCCTGCTCCGCCTTCACCATTGTCCTGGAAGTTATAGATCTTCGGCGACGCCAGAAGTGGATCGCCACGTTTGATACATGCGACTTGCACGAACGTATTCCTGATCTTGTATATAACGTACCCCATATGTACTGTAAACCATTTTGACACAAAGAGTTGTGATTTAGCTCTTCACTAAACCCATCCTTGGGAATTCAGTAACAATTTCATGGAGCGACATCAAGTCCTCCATGTCACTCCAGCTGCTAGCAGGTTCACTGCTCCCAGACGGCGGGTGCTTGTCAATTAAGTCGTCGATGAATTCGGCTGCGCCAGACATATTAAGAACACCTGCCACGGTGGCGTGAATCCCGATGAAAATCGGGTCGGGCATGTTGTAGGCGGGAGCATGGTTCCTGAAAACAACTGGATCTGCCAAGTTGCGGCCTCCCAATTTGCGGAGACCAAAAAGAAAATCGGCGACCCGTGACTTGTCAAACCAGTCGAGTGCGTATGTGTGTTCAGTAGCCTAACACGTATTGGGTGCTTGCACATGGAAAATGGAGATAAAAACATACTGTTGGGAGCAGACGTATCTGGTATTGATCAAAGAGGGTATGTGTATTGGGTTCAAGGGTGATTGCATTTGAAGGATGATCAATGTGATCCTCCAGGTTCCGGAGGTAGTCATCGGGAAGGCGAGTATAGTTTCGTAGTATATCGAACGTAGCAGCGGCCGGTCTGAACTGGTGAGACGACATTCAGCAAGATTATTGCGGACGAGACGATACCTCGGACGTACACTAGGATCTGTCTCACGGTGACTTTGCCCACCTACAGCTCTCCGCAATACATGAGCTACCTCCAATCTAGTAACACCTGGATCCACAGGACGACGGCTGTCTACTATACCCGTGATCACACACGTATAACCGTCACGACGGAGCACCTAGGAACAGAAGTGTTTGTATGCAGGAGGTCTCCGTCAAAGCGGGAGAGGCTTACGGTATCCGTGTCTAAAGTCCTACGTCCAATGGATCTAGTCGGCATATCGTCCGCCGTCCTTTCATACGTTGGGGTGGCGATATCAGAAAAAATTTCAGATGCTTGTTGTGCGTAGGTTCTCGGACCGGCTTTGACTGTGCACAGTGGCTTTAGCATTGATGTACGGAAACAAAATGAACTCACATGGGAAGAGGAAGTGGGTGACCCAAGCGACTGCGAGAGCTCGAAGGTTCTTAACCAGTTCTTCACGTCGCAAGGGACCGCCACGATCACCCTCTTCAGCCCGTTCGGCGCACGTAAGAATTGCTTTAATCACATATACCAGCCCTCGATGTTGCGGAAAATCGGCTTTGCCATCGGAGCGGGAAGTAGCAGAACTCTGGGGTGGCATCTTGATGTCCTCGGCGCAGGTGAGCATTGCCTGTAGAACTTGATGAAGTGGCAATGATGCTGCAGTTGCCGAGGGCTTGAAAATGTTGGCTGTGGTCCCTTCGAGTTTCTTGATGATATCCTTCGCTTTCTTGGTCTGAGCAATCACATCGGCATCAGAGAGGGTCGACCTGTCGATGTCCGCACTGAGATCGGTGAAGATCTGCAACTCAGAGGCCGTAGTACTATAGCTATCGAGGGTGGAAAGTGAGACATTGGATTCCTTGGAGTCCGTCCTGTTGTGTGACATGGCCACTGGCGAAATATGAAGATAGTGTTAGAAGGCAAGCTCAATGGCAATGAGAGATGATGACTTTTACTCCCTGCACGTGATGATAGAATAAATTATGTAAACATGGCTGGTCTTCCTCCCGCCATCGCCATCCCCCTGGCTGGCAACAACGATGTCTATAACAATGTTTACACAACGACACCCATTATCTGCCCCCTCCCTCCCCACTTGCGCCTCCACCAGCGAGTCGCCCCCGCTTCCCTGTGGCCGCCGTCGTTCTTGGACGGCAACCTTCACCAGCCTTTGCTCTTCGCACGGATATGCTCCCCTCGACCCCCTGCGCGCTTGTGCTGCTGTGTTATCTTCTAGTGAAGTGCGATTGGTGCTCGGGAGTTTACGTGAGGTCGAAATTTGAACGTAGGGTGTCGTCGAGACGCATCGAATTAGACGGCGCGGAAGGCTGGGATAACAGAGACCCAGAGACTCAGAGACTCAGCTGTGTACGCACTCGCAGGAGACGGGCAGTGGAGGGAAAAGGGTCGCTCGGAGTCGTCGGAGTTCGAATAGAAATAGAGCCGCCACCGGCGACCTCGTCCAACGCCGTCGTTCGTCGTCGAACATGGTCTGTTTCTTTTTGAGCAAAGGGACGACTGGCATTCACAAGAAAGGACCCAGCAGACCTCCTATGGGCACTCCTTCAGCTTACAATCACCCCGAGTTCATCTTCATGGATCCACCTCGCGCTCATCGGATCTAACCCGAGCTTCGTATTCTCAAAATCTACCAGACTCGACCACATGCACCCCTACCTCGACAACTAAGCACGAAACTCTTCCCCTGGTTCCTGTTCTACCATCTCGTACCATGTCGACTCCCCCATGCCAGTGAAGTCAAGATCAAGCTGAAAACTTATCATCGCCCCAACGTGTTGTCGGCCTCAGCTCGGCAGTGGTCAAATGCTCGATACCCATCGTTCTCTGTTCACGCTACCGCGAGTATATTCTACTGGAGGGTGGTCTCGTCGTGCGAGAATTCTGCTCATAGGTATGTTCTTTCGCCTAACTTTCGCCGCCCTCGCTCATCTCTCCGAGTCATTACTAATACCAAACTTCCCATAGCGTTTTCAACCGTCGTTCCTCAATACCCCCACCAATGCCATCACTTGATCTCAAAACCCCAACCTCGTCCGGAATCGTAACGTCCACTCAGGCCGACATTTGGCAAATGGCAGTTCCTCGACATCAACCTCGAGCTTGGACCCTTGTCTCTCAACCTGTTGTATATTTATCCCCAAAAAATCGTCTGCATCGGCAACGGACGACTCTCGGAAGCTTCTTCAATACCCAGAGGGTCACACGCCCCAAAGGACCCTCCTCTCTGATACCTTTTTCGCCCTATCGATCCCAATCACCTCACTGAACGAATCCTCCTCTTCCCACACGCCCCTCGAACGCATCACCACTACTTCAACAACCGTTCTGGAAAGACCCAAGACCTCAAAAACCGCACCGCCGAAAGGGCGCAGTTGAATCACGGAGGTTGAAAGAGGTTGCGAATAAAGGCTTCGCAGGCGGACGTTCGATCATGAGTGGTTGGTAGCCTTTCGAGAGGAACCGAATGAGCCGCTATTGTACGTTTCTCCATCTCCTCCGCCTCTGCTCCCTGACGCTGATATCTTGCAGCGCGTATAGCGAACCATAGCGTGTTCGAATTATGATACATTTGGCGACGTGCACTTGAATGGCGCCCTGTTCAACGAACACGAGGTTCGAGCCTCTTCGTGGTCCAGCTTTCGAGCGCCCCTCTTGTGCTCTGCTCCGGGTACCCAATCGAAGGGATTGAGAAGGTCGTTATCAGTCTCAAGAAGGCGTTAGAGTGGATGTCAGGACATAACTGCCTCGTTGACGCCATCCGTACGTCCTTTTCCTACCCATTCGTCTGTTCATCTAAGGCATATCATGTACTTCTAGGTGCTCGCCACGCTCTGATATGGCCGAACTCGAGGGAATAAACATCATTCTTCTAGCTGGCATCGGGCGGTCACCATCCCATTTTTAAGCCTCATGTAGCACCACGGTACCACCCCTGGACTTCAATGTCCAGCGTTCAACCTGACGCGACCGTGACGCATTGGCCGCAGCCTAGGATTCCTCCTCAGGAAAAGACTCGGGGCTACACAATGGCTCACATCTAGGGTCACCAGTGGGACGTCTGTCTACACCCATACCGCCGACTGTAGTACATGGATATATCCTCTCATTGTCAAGAGACCCGTCAGGGTCGACGAATGCTGCAGGCACATACCCAACTCTCGCTGATATCATTTTGCCGTCCATCCATCCCGCCTTGGTTCTCAATTCAAAGCATTTGAAACCTTATGGAAGTGAAGAAATCGTATAGGATGCTCATGAGGAATCAGACGAGTTATTGGAACTGTTACTTAGCAATCATCGGATAGAATCCCCCTGTAGTCAAGCTGCGAACCCTCCGACGTCCTCCCGTCGAAACCGCCCTTCAAATTCCCCTCGTCCCGCCAACGCCGCTTCTCAGAGCGCTGTGATCTCTGCCATCACCCTCTCCTCAACGTTACGTCCTTCCAGTGACCCCGACCCTGAACTTTCATCCTGCATCTATAGCCAGCTATATTCTCAACCACAACCGCCACAACCGCCACCACAACCGCCACCACAATCACCACAATCACCACAACCACCGCAACCGCCACGATCTTGATCACCACCTCCTAAATTCCGGGGACGTGAGCAACATAAATGAATGTACATCGGAGGAACGTTAGACACTCACCGCTATCACCGCTGCCACCACCACCTCCAGCGCTGCCTCCGCTGCCTTCACCACACTAGTGAGAGAATATGGGCGTCAAGCAACAAAATTGCAGTGAAGAACCACTTACGCCACCATTGCCGCCTCCAGCGCCGGTCCAATGCATTCCACTATCAGCCTCACATCCACTCATTGCCTCTGCTGCGAAAGAGATGGGTACTGGAACCAAGAACGCTGCGCCGTACCAGGAGAAGCTGTTCTTGTCATTCGTGTCATCCGAGGCATCATCGGAATTTTTGTTCCGGGTGCGAGGGAGGGGTGGTCCATGTAGTGCCCAGCCCTCCTGATTCAGGACCATCTTTGGCACATTTTTATCCTCTTTCTCTTTCTTCTTCCCCAGTTTCTTGTCCAGCCCTTTCACCGTCTTGTGAGTCCCGCTCTTTGGCATAAAGCGGGCGGTGTTATGGTTGCGCGGGCGTGTCGCACTTCGTAGGTCTGTGCGATCATCACGAAGGAGGCGGGACGGTGCCTGCGTGGCTGGCGCATACATGCCCACCAGCTGTGAGAGGTACCTGCCGATGCTTTCGCTGGTACCGGGAGCGGGGGGGCCTCTATGCATGTAAGGCATGCCGAAGCGATCCTTCCATGCTTGGCAGGTGATCTTGAAGGCGGAGGAGAGTCGAAGCTCCTCGATTTTGTCGTCGTGGTCGACGAACCGCCTCACGTAGGCTATGCAGTCGGTCTCGTACTTGGAGGGCATGAGCTGGTGTGTGTGCCAGACGAGGTCGATATCGAGAGTTGGCACGAAGAAGGACGCCAGAGAGGATGTCATCAGGTCGAGGAACCTGGCGATCTGTGAGCGAAAGTCCTTATAGAGAACTTGAAGGATTAGAGGAGTATTTACGCGTGATACCGGGCCAAAGCATGCTGGAGGGCCAGCTCGTCGTCTGGTTTGTCGAAGAAACCAGGTTTGGTCCATCCGAGATTGTACATCTTCTGGACGAACGATCCTTGTCTCAACACCGCTCCCACAAGCTCGACTGAATATATCTTGCCATCATTGTAAGCACTCAGGATCTTAGAGTGTCTTCAGGGCGATCAGTACTAAAGTGTAGAGCAGAAGAACTATGGGGCTTACAACTGCGAAGGTGGTCCCATAGCCTTCACAAGCTGGGACATTGAAAAGTTGGTATATCTCATGATGGAGTCCGACAGTTCTTTAACATAGGCAGGAGTCCCGTATTTGTAGTCCTTCACCAGCCTGAAGGGTTTGGCATTGGCTACAAATGTGTCTTTGATCTTCTTCGCAGCCACAGGATCAAAGCTTGACAAAGGGTTGAATATTGTTCCACTGTGGCGGATGTCAATATAAAGAAATGTGTCATCGGTGGAAGGCACACACGGAAGCGATGCCGGCGGAATGGCTGCGAGGTCGTCTGCTATCTTCCGAAGAGCCATTACTTCTTTTGTTATATGGGTAATACCGCAGCCCTTGGGGCAAGCCACCGCAAAATTCTGCTGTAGATACCCGGTGCCGGGTCCATTCAGAAGCTCTATACAGGCAATTTAAGCACAGCAGCGACAAAGGCTTATTGAATACGAACCGACTTTGACAGAACATCCACAAAGAGGACAAGCAATTCGCTTCAAGTTTGCCGTCACGGAGCTCATGTGGTCGACGAAGTCAAATTCGAGAGACGTTCGAGAGACCCAGAAATCGAGACGACCTTTGGACGGAGGTCCTGAAAGCAAAATTTGGAATTGTCCTCTCTGTCGGGTAGAAGTCTGGGTAAGTCCTCGTCTAGCAGGACACTGGCGAGGCGTACCAAGCCGTTTGTGAAGTGACGTTCAAATTCCTTCAATACCTTGCAGCCGGGTTTCACGAGACAATCCTCTGCATACCAGCGCGGGTTCAACATATACGCGTGCCATACCTTGTTAGGACCCCCAGATTAGAGAATTCCAGAGAGCAAAGATATGTTTAAATGCACCATGAGGATGTCCAAGGGCGGTAGAACAATATCTGGACCCTTTTCAGAATCCTCGGGTCTCAGTCTGCGGCACCAGGTATCAAATCTACATATAGCATTCATCCGTAAGTACGGCTCCAGATGCCCGGGTAGATGACTGACCGTTCAACAGCCAACGCAACAAATAACTCCCATCTGCGACCTTCAGGAAGGGGTTCGTTTGGCACCGTAGCAATCAGACTGCGCTTTTTCAGCTCCGCGAATGCGTTGAGGAGAAAAAGGTGTCCTTTGATCTCCTGGATATTGACCAACGGCGCGGTCGTTTGCGAGGGTCCTATGGCAAACTGGGTGGGTATCGTGTAGAGAGGAGGCTTCATCGAGCGTGCGTTGTAGGCTGGGGGTGCAGTTGCAGCCATGGAAGGAAGAGGTGACACGTCCAGTGCCCCCCTTCAAATACTTTACTTGATGTTTGGTTCCAGGCGATGCAAATTACCCCATGGCTGGGACGATTGTGGCCTGGTAGATGATGATCACGGTCATTGGCAACATCTTGGGATCCGAAGTAGCACTTACAGTAGACCTACTTACCCGTACTTTGATAGAAGACCAGGGAAAATGGCCAATGGCATAGTAGCTGGAGATGGATCGCATGAGCTTATCTCGTCGAGATGCTGACCAGATACTCGACAGGTACGAGATATAGTTGCGCAAAGTTCAATTTGAAGGTTTGCGGTTCATCAAGGATGAAATGGAAGGATCAGGTGGTGACAAACCAATTGAGTTGGTTATTCCAGTCTTCACGGGGTATCAAGGTCCTCATAGGCCTCATGAGCAAATCAATGGGGTGTGGGGTATGGGGCGATGATATGTCAGATAGTAATATGTGATAGTCTCGTAACGTGAATATTCCACACACACATTTGCAAGACATTATTCCATCATCCTCTCAATGTTGCCCACCCGGCAGGATCTGACGCGGACGTAAGGAAGTAACGATGGGGGTTATGGTAGAGCTCCGAAGCGGCATAGCACTCGGGTACCCCTTCGTAACAATTGTCTGCAGAGGCAGTGCACCCCATGCGCAGGTGAGGTCGACAGAGGTAAGCACCCTTCGAGGTATGCCGTTCTCGTACCGACAGATCTTTGGATTTGACTGCATTTGAGCGAGTTGAGTGCCTTTGTATATTTCTTATCGAGCAGAAATGGCTTTAGATAGGAAAAGCAGCAAGTAAGAATGTGACGTACGGATGGGTTGACGGAGCTTACGATGTCCTCACATTCATGGTCGTGTTCGGTGAGCAGGGTGCATTGAAGCGGACCTTGACAGGAAGGGCATCGAACGTACAAAGTTCACTATATGCATCGTCAGCCTCAGGGGAAAGAGGCAAGTGAGGCGAACAAAACATACCGACAGAAGCCCCGTTTGGCCCTCCTCAAGGCGACCAACCACTCCTAACCGATTGTCTGTCCTCAAGCCTTTATCCACACCCTCGTTCAACCTCCGCAATTCAACCGCCGTCTTTTTGTGCGGGGTCTTTGTAACCTTGGGGACCATCGAGAATATTGAAAGGTAGAGGCGATCGTCCGAGAAGTGTACGGCAGGAGGAGGTAGAAATCGGTCGAGGCGGGTAGTGGAGATGGTCAGGACAGATAGGGCGACAAAGTGCAAACGAGGGTGAGAGTATTGAAGGAACTCCCGAGGGTCATCTGGTGCGAATTCAGGTAGGTTTACGGGGGTATGCTGCATACTGAGAGACAAGAATTCAACGTTCGAAGTGCCGCCCGCAAAACGTTAGTCTAGGTCAAGTTGAAGTCGCGAACGAGGTTGGAGATTAGCGTTGAGTGAAGCTGCCAGCTCAGGTACCGCACGACACGATCTAGCAGAAGGCATAAGAGATGAGATAAGCGAGAGTGACGAACGCAGGGCGAAAAAAAATACCTATGTGCAGAATTCCCGTCCAACGATCTGATATTCCGGTAGAATCCACTCAATAGCGGGTTGTATTTCTTGACAGAGTGGCAGGCATGGGCGAGTGTAGGAGCGTGACCGAGTTGAGACTGATATATTAGGATGTCGGAGCGACAGCCCATCTTCAGCTTGATTCATTGGCCTATGGACGTCGTCTGGGCATGGTGTGCATGGTAGGGGAAGGACGAAAGGTGTGTGGAATGATGCATGCCGATGTGAGCGGTCGAGTTAAACATCCGGCTCGTCCTTGAGACCAAGAATACTTTCAACAGCCTGCTTAAACCGGATACCGAGGAAGAAACACTGCCCCCAGCAATATTCTTCGTTGTCTCTCGGCACTCCTCTGTACCATCTGGACGCGTCATCATCCTGACCACCTGCGTCTTCTATCCCGAAGCCTTAGCTGCCCCATCCCTCCTCCCTTGTTACTCGTGATTCGGCAACACTTATCCTTCCTGCCTCGTCCTCCACTCTTAGCTGTCTGCTCGACAACTTGCCAGCATGCACTTGAGCGTCAACACAACCCCTCGTCGTCGCAGCCAACCCGCCGTCCCGAATGCTCGAATGGTCTTCATTGCGCTTCCAAGATCATGACGCCGCATAGACGGGGCAGACAACTGGAACACGAGAGTTCGTAATGAGAGCCGTCAAATTCGGGAGTGAATTGAGGATGATAGAGGCGAAACGTGGTATGGCTTGTTCGAGATGTCGAAGCCTCAGAGGCGCAGGTATGATTCGCCATATTCTACCTTCGTCCGTCGATTGTTGAATCCACCCTCCCTTCATCCCTTAGACGAGAACGAGAACTTGGACATCCGACAAGACGGTTCTGCGGTACACGATGGACGGCGTGAGGGTGGAGGATGGTCTCAAAGTTGACATTGACTACATAGTCCATGTGGAGCGATGTTTGCTTTGGGATGCAGCCCGAATGTTTGTACTACATATGAATCAAAGTAACAACTTTAGGGGGTGGTGGTAGGGGTAGCTTCACTCGTTGGAAGAGTTTGGCGTTGTTCGACGTTAGAGGGAGGGCACATAGCAGTGAGGGAGAATCCAGCGGCGAAGAAGAGGGAGATACAAGTCCGGAAACAGGACGGAAGTTGGGCCTGCTGTCCCTGGGGAGCCGATGAGACTCAGCGGCTGCGAGCTGATTGGGTGGGAGTCCCGAGAAGGAACGCAGGCCGTCACCAGAGAGCTGGTTGGCAGGCCGTTGACCGAGTAGGCAAGGAGCAAAGAGAAATGGCGCTCGAAGGTTAGGGGATTGCAGTTCGGAATGAGCCTTGCCGGCAATGCGCGGACCGAATCCCGGTTCCGCCTACTTCCTCACCCACTGGTGTGGGAACCGACTTTATGTTTGCACAAAAAGGCGTTATAGGGGTGTTAAACATTAAGATTGACATTTTTGGTGCACTTAAATACATGTAAAGTGACGACTGCTTCTCCGCGTAAAATGCACCTAAAAGGAACAATCCCTGACTACATTTTCATCCCAAAAAAGCGGAGATGTAAGCAGGATTGTTGGTTTGGTCAAAATTTCAATAAAATGTTACACTTATGGAGCAATTTTGACCAGACAAAAAGCACCCTTTTGTCTAGCTACAGAAAATACAATAGGGCTTAACAATTGAATCTACTTTTTGTCTTGCCTCAATGCGAGCTTTATGACCTATTTTGGGCAGATATAATGCATCTCATGAAATGCCGACCTTTGAGAAGAGCCAAAAGTGGCGGATTATGCATCTACTTTTTCACTGGCCATAAATTAAACAATAAAGGCGCACTTTCTTGGTTGAATAAAGAAAGCAAAAATTTGGCATTTCAATACACCATACAGGGATTGCGCGATCTGCTCGTCGCTTTTGGGTCACTCAGCGAGTCTCTCACACTTGATCACATGGGAACAAAACCCTATTTAGGACATATCTACATCATCAACGTCCATACCATCGTCAACAGGAGGCAGATGCAAGTATGTCTGGAGGAAGTGTGAGAAGCAGAGAGCAGCCAACATCAATAAGAACTTACATGGCTCAATGAGAGGACAGCAAAGAGGTCACGCCCTTCAATGCAAACTGGGAGGCAGGCAAAGTGGTTGAATAACTGATCTGGTGTTGCAATTTCGAGGACACCCAGTTTGCGACTCGATAGACGAGCAGGAAAGGCAGGGAAGCGGCTGTACGGATCATGCACTACATCGGCATGGAGGTATCTTGATAGGCCGATGTAGGTCTGAATAGAATTATCACCAGAAGATACCTGGACGATGTACTTGATTTGCGCAGCATCAAGGCATTCGATGTTTCGAGACTTGTAATTGTGAGGGTGGTGCAAAAGGACACATGAATTGCCAGCATGCTTGGATGAAGTTGCATAATTTACGCCATCAATGGAAAGATGGCTGAGGAAGTGCGCTTCAGATGGGGTTGGGCCTTCAAGGAACTCAGCTAGAGCAAGGCTGAGGTCTTCCGGAATTGACCGCTTTGTCAAGTCTGCCCACACAGGATTATCCCCCTCAGCTGAAGGTTCCATGATCGACGCAAATGCTCGCATGTCTGGGACAAGTGCATCTCGAACATTCAGGTTGGTCATCTTCTGAAACATGGGCTGGCAATTCTGAATGATCTCCAGGCAGCTGGCCTTGAGAGGAAGTGCCCTGAGGTTCGCAGCACGGGTGAAGGCTTTCGTGATTGTCTCCTCAAGCTCGCCTTACAGAAATGAGAAACAGAAAAAACAGGAGAATCAACACAGCTTACCTATCTTTCCACTGCTAGGCATTCTTTGCAGCATTCCAATCAGCCTCTCAAAGGGAAAAGTCCACCAAGCATGTACAGGGCTGAAGCGAATGAGAAACTCACGAATGTGTAGTGCCATGTGATGGTTTGGGCAAAACTTGTACGTCGGGAAGAGACACTTGATGCTGATTATATAGTTGCGCATATGCATGAGATAGGCATCTGCATTAGCCTGGGACATGGTGTGGGACGTTGCAATGATGACTGCACACAAGAGGGACATAGTAACTTCAAGGATCTCATGGCATCGTCATGAACGTGCATTGTTAGCCTGCGACGATCCCCACAGTCATATCAATGAAAGAGGTAAGTAGGTGGTCCCGAGAGTACGCCATTGGTCTGCCTTCAATTTCCCATGTGCAGAGCTACCGACATTCGAAGGCACAGAAGTAAGCCAGCTGGGAGTAAGGAGCTCCCGAATATCTGACCAAATTTCTTCCACCTCATCCTGAGAGAGGACGAAACCATGAGCTGTCGACGTGTCAGCCCCTGGTGCCCGACGTTCTGTTTGTGCAAGCTGCTTTGTTGTCGGATAAGTATATAAGTCTATGAATGTCCAGAAAATGGAAGACTTACCCATGTAAGAAGGGAATCCGCCCAATGTCCCTTCGTTGTCCTGGGTTTGTTCACAGTCGATGGGCACCGTAGTTGCTCACATGCAAACTTGAGGGCTGCTAGATGGAGCGACTTCATCTTCTTCAGAGCCTGTTCGGGACCAGAAGAAAATGTAGAAGCCAAAGGAGCTTGGAGCCACTTCCGAAGCTTTTTGACACTTTTCCTCTCTTTTGACGTGAAGCCAGCAGGGATCTGACCGAATTCAATATCGAGAACAGGCTCTTCCTCACGTGAAGGAAGTGCAATGCTGAGTATCCCGCAGAAGTGTTCTTTGATGAGGCCGAGAAACAGGTTGTGCATGGAATCAACAACGACATTGTGTGTGATGTCAAAGTAGGGGAGACGCAACAGCTCTGACCAGCGAATTCCTGCATCATTGAAAATTTCAGCCCTCATCTCCACAGACTCCACAGATATATATTGATCTGCATGGTGCCGACATTCCTCGTTCGTTCTCCAACGCCATGATTGAGTATCAGTATGGCCATAGCCATGGCGGGATCGGGTACAATGACAGAGCAAACAGAAATGTTCATGAGAGGAAGCAGCAAATCCAGCTGTCTTGCGGGCCGCAGGAAGGTCACAGATTAGGGCGATTAATGCACATCGAATGAGGCGGCCATCAGGGTAGTTGAAGGTCTTTGAGATATGTACCCCACTTTCCCAAAATGTGAGCAGCTCATCGATGAGTGGAGTAAGGTAGTGATTTAAGGCCGTAAGAGGAGGTTCTTTCAGGCCAGGAATCACACCAGCAAGAAACATGTTCTCAGGCTTGTACCGCATTGAAGGGGGGAGATTTAAGCACACAAGAGAAATAACACCGATAGAACATTTCTTCCCAGCTTGTTTATTGGTATATGGACTGAAGAAATCGACTGACATAGAAAATCCGTAGCGACCTTCTTGGCCACCCACTCCAAATAATTTCCCGTCAGGCCCTTTAAAATCTCGGAGAAAGTCGCTGTCGAAAATATTGTGCATTGTGTCTGAGGTCTTGCAATTCTTGTCCCATGCACCATCCATTATGTCCTCAAACCCCGGATGCGAACTGATATTGGCGGTGTAGTCCGTAAAGCTGTTGGCTACAAAACGCTTGATAGCAACTTCAACAATAACACCATTGACAGTTCGTGGTCAAGTTAATCGGGTCCCACATGAACTTCCTCCTGAGAATTGTTTGTGGGTGCAGTACTTTGGGTAGATGGGGATGGGGGAATTTCCTTCAAATTTTGGAGCATAGGTCTTATGGCATGACGGATCGGGGCATGTTGCCATGATGGTATACTTTCCTTCAAGACCGAACTTGGAGGTGACTGTATCAGGGTCAACTGGAAAACTGGAGAGAGTTCTGCGTTGGAGAAACAGGCTGGCATTTGCACGCACGAAGGCAACCTGAATGACGTATTGTAGCATTGAGAGCATAAAGTGGCACCCCTGCCGACTGGTATGAAGAACAACCTGGAAAGCAACCATCATGAACATGGCAGCTTAGACTAAAGGATCAACGTTCGAGAGGATTGGTTGATGGTGATGCTCTGGTGAAGACATGAGTGACGAGCAAAGCCCTAGAGTAAGAACTTACCCGAATTGAATGTGTTCCCTGGCAAAGGGCTTGTATCTCCAGGACATTTCTTGAGCAGGGAATTCCACTCTTTCTGAGCATTATTTAGCTTCATGAAGAAGATGTTTACTTTGTTGGCTAGAACTTCATGTGTTTCACGTACTGAAGATGCCCTATTAGAAACATCCGAGAGACGATCTTGTAGCAGTCGGGTAGCAGCAATAGAGGACCGCAGGGGGAAGATGTTGCCACACCGCTTAGGTGTCCCGATGGAAGAAAGGAGTGGAAGGACGCTGGCTTTCAGGGCCTCAAAGTCGCACTCTACATCACGTAGGATTTGAAGGCTCTGCTCAATTCGGGCACGTTGAGTTCCTGGTCCTGGCTGCTTATGAGAAAGTGGCGACGGCGGCAGTGAAGGTGAAATAGAGCCAGACAGAGTGAGTTTGGAGATGGCATTGGCTATCATTTCATCCTCAGCCTCACACGCTTTCGCACTTGCGGCAAGATAAGCTTTTGAACGTTCTTGGAGGCCTAGAGCCTTGTGTGATTGTAGCGTACACATGTTAACATCCTTGCCATTGCAGGACTTACAGTAGCATGGTGGCATTGATTGAAAGAAAGTCTCTGAGTATCCCAGAAACCAAGGAGAGTGACGTAGGAAGAGGTATCTGAGTATCCCAGAAACCTAAGAAAGGGACTCTCTCTGAGCTACCCAGAGAAGACAGACTTGGGGGATGACGTTAATCATGGTGAGGAAGACGAGCAGTCAAATAGGGAGCACTGCCCTTGTTCGATTCGAAAGGAGAACAAGTTGAGGGCAGGATAGCGACATTGTACTTGTTCGTAAAGAACAAAACAATAGAGCAGCATGATGCCATGTCAACCACAATACACTGTCAAGGAGATCCAAGGCAGTGTAAGAGAATATCACACCGAGCTGCTCTGGAGATCCAAAACAGCTGGGACACCCGGATGACCGTTGTAGATTGAGCGAGATGACGGCTTTGTTTGGCTCTGCTTACCCAAATCGCGGTGACGATCAACAGTGTCTGTCGGAGGCCCAACCACACCCTCTACGACTACCTTGGAACACCTCGGTAATCAGCCTCCTCCCCCATGTTCAAACTACCTTGGAACTCCTTGGTAGTTGTCCCCCAATTATGCCTTGGCACTTTTTGGCATTTGTTCCTGTTTAGAGATTGCCCTGGGCTCTTTCTTCGTGCTGTTGTCAGGCATTACTGGTTGTGACTGTCTTGGGACTCCTTGACAGTTTCCTCTGTGCATCTGAAGCAAGCATTAAGTCCGTCTCATTGCACACATATGCTACATTGGGTATATAGAAAATCACATCACCTATGACGCGCCGTCTGTTGCTCATTTGATTTGGAGAACCTTCCTCAACATGTCTTCGTCCATCCTGGTGATGACCTTCTTGACATCGTCCAGAATAGCTGGCTGACCATTGGTATGTAAATTAAGCATGTGGGATACCTGTATGGCGACGAAATTGATTTTCTGTTGGATTGTTCATCAGGTACTCGTCTCGCATTCCATAGAAGTTATACCTCATGTACATCTGCAACTGGTGGGAGCCAGGTACCGGCTGTCATCCAGCAAAGGACGACAAAGAGAAGAACATTCAGCACTGTCATGAAGCTGATAGTTTCTTGCCTCTCACGCGATGTGCTACCACTGCGAATCTAAGTAGCTTGGATTAGCTTGGATTATCCTACAAGTGTGAACATCACCTACCCCTTTCTCCCAAACCTTTATCTCAAACTTCCTCCCTGAGGATGCAGTCGCAATGATGTGCTTCTCGCCAGTGATCGCTGCCTAATGGTCTGTTGAGTGCAGTATGATACGAAGCTATCACTGTCCTCACTAACCTTGACTGTCTGGATCATTTCTTCCTTTCTTCCATGTTTCAAGATCTGTTGTGGCTCTGTCGAAGTCACACCGAACACGTATACATTGCCGTGGTCGCTTCCGCACACAGCAACCTTCCCCTTCTCGGCAAAGACACCTTGCTTTACATATTTTCAGGTTGTAACGACATCGAAGGAACGTGCTGGCGCAGTGCGATTGGGGGTGTAGAGGTCAAAGCCGGTCTTCATGTTGTCAATGATGTAGTTGCCCGTAGTAGGGCACACACCCACGCTCCTGCTGATGATGGATTCATGAATATGATGCGGTACCTGCAATACTGAGGGCTTACATGCTGGAGGAGAAGACACACGTTGACTTCTGCGCAGCTGTTTCGGCATCCTTATGCACACTGAATGCAACTGAGAATGAAGACAACTAACAGGTGTATATATGCACTTACACTGTGCCAGATTCCATACCGAAGGCAACGAGGGTCTCCACCTTTTTGATGAAGACGACTGCCCGAGGTATCGTCTCGCTCAGCTCTTCCCCCCATAGCTGGGTAAGGTTCCCACTCTCGAACTTGTACATGGTTATTTTACCATAATGTGTTGTGACAGCGAGTCGGCGGTTGTGGTTATCAAATGCAAAGTGCTCTACACTGTCGCCTGGGCTTGAGACTCGAGTGCTAGAGATCTGCTGAAAGTCGAGCTGGGTTGTGTGAGTGGATTGCTGTCCGAGGATGTGACTTTGACTCACAGTTTTTCTCACTCAGCGATAGACGATTAATAACCCTCTTCCCGTACTGAAGGCCAGCCACTCTGATCCAGAAGGGCCGCCATCAGGATAGAGAAATGCAATATTGGTGATCTGCCCCCATTGGCGGTTCGAGTCGACCAGCGACTGGCACTGCTGTCCCTTCGACAAGTCCCAAAGGTGAACTTCCTCATCGTCGCCTGATGAATAAGTTAGCCTGGTTCAGATTCGGTATCAATCTTGGGTCTATGGCCATACCTCCACTGGCAAGAAGGCTTCCTCCACCATTGAATACGAGACTATTCACCAGGGCGCCATGACCTTTGAAGGTCCTGGCAAGGCGATAGCTCTAGTAGATTATTCAGCAGACACCAATCAATGGGATCTATTCATGTACGTCGTGAGAGAGGGTGGGCTTGAAGAGGTGTTTCAATCTGAAGACCATGTTTCAATGAGTGAGCGTGCGCAGTGTTTGAGTGAAGTGCGATTTCTGCGGCATGGTGGACATTCTTGATATACGGTCATTAACAATTGGACATAATTGGTCTTCATCTGGTGCAACGGGATCCAAATGGTGGAAACCTTGTTCATTGTTCTTTGCTGTTGTCATACGGCTCATGCCAACAAATCTAAACAAGGTCGTGATGGAAATTTTGAACGAGGTTGACCCAAAGATCACGAACAAAGTCGAAAGGAAAATTGGAACAAGGCCATGGTGTTTATATACTCGGCCAATGTCAAAATTTTCCTCATCGTTCACCTCCATCATGGACCGCACCATATCTTGCCACCTCCCTATAATCACACCCAGGATTGAGTTCACCAACACAAATTCTATCAGACTTCTGCCTATCATTACACCGCGCATCAACTTTGCTCTAGAATGGACTGAATCACTGCATCTCGCTGAACACGATGACACTGACTCCATCGCAGCTGCGTCTGACAATAGTCCTGATGATGCGACATTAGGATCTGAAATGGAAGACCAAGACGATATCACCGACCTTGACAAGAACAAAAAGATTCTGAAGCCACCCGGTGAGCCTGGACGACTGAACTCCGGTGGCTACAATATCGACAATGAGCTGCGTGGCTGGACCCTGGCCCTCATAGCTGATGTCAATGTGAGTGATTTTTATGAACAATAGTCTCTGCATTTTGCTCACACGACATCTCCTTTTGCTGGCTAGCAATTCATCAAGCAGAAGGCAGATGAGCATCTTGACATTGGTCAAAGCTACAGCAAGCAACGTGCTGCTGATGTCACCAGCGTGTGTCTGATGGTGCGTATTCGAGTTCATCACATGAGACTCTCAATTCATGCATTTTGAAAGGTCAAGAAACAATTTCCTGTTGTTGAGAAATATGACAACTGCTGGCCAGTCCGTGATATGTTGAAGCTGTACCTTAGATACATGGCCGAGAAGGAACAGAAAGAGGGTGCAGCTAGTAAGGAACAGAAGGGGGTGCAGCCAATAAGTCCAAGAGAATGAGACAATCATGACGAGGGGTATAGTTGATGCTGCAGATACATAGCAGTCTTATGTGTGCATTGAAAAAAACAAGTCCTTTCTTGCTCATTCGTACACGCTTGCCTTGGTGAATGTACTGAAGGGACCTGCTGTGATGTGAGTTAACGAAAACAACAGAACAGTCTTAATACCTCTTCAGTGCGAAGTCTGCTAGCTTTGCATCCTTTCCGCGCATATTGACGACACCGTCTGAAGTGGCCGACGCATGCAAAATGACGATATCGCCATTCCATATCTTCCTGCCTGACAAGCCCAGCACGGTCCAGTTTGTAGGAAGATGACAATGGTTTTTGAAGAAAATATAGAATAGGTGGCTGCGGCTTTGTCGATCAATGACCTTGACTTCGCAGGTGTGGACATGCTGTTGAATACGACCTTTCAGGATGCCTTGAAGAAAGGCAAAACGCCTGGTGCCGTTATCGTGTGTGGGGACCTTGACGAATCTGGGCTTGGGTCCAAATGTTTGATAGACACGGCCTTGGACGTAGTGATACTGGTCCTGCAGGAATTGTGAGCGAATCAATAAGGGATAGCAGTAGTATGTTACCTTCGCATGAGGAAAAATTGATATGTGGCTATAGGTCATAGCGGAGGTGGTGAATGAGTCTCAGAAATGTGAAGGCGTATGAGGGCATATGTTCTAATTTCCGCTGGCGATAACGGAAGTCAGATATACCGAACGAAAACAAAAAAAAATATATGGTTATCAAGATCCATGACAGACGAAGCGCTGTGGAGTTCGACTGACAATAAGTTCGGGGGTAGACCCAATGAGATGAGACCGACATTGTGCTGCGTGCAAGGACAAAAAAGGAGAGCGGGCATATAAAGTGTGTTCGAAATGGGTGGGAAACCACTCAAAGTTCACGCCATGCATCCGTTTAAGATCTTTTCGGCATTGAAGGGCACGAATACTTCTGCGAACCCCTCTGTGCCTCCCAGCGACATCGAGATGGGTATGCCTGAGGTACAGCCCTGGTTTTGCATATGAGACTTTATACTCATAGATTGTGAAAGTTGCAGTTACAACTCCCAACATACGTTGTTCAAGATACCCCTGCTCCTATTCCCCAACCCCCATTGCAAATTGAAGCGCCTTCGACTCAAGTCGAGCTTCAGGCACCATCTGGTCTCCTGGCTGGCCTGCAAGATGGCGCCCATAAATTCACCCTGAGGATTCCCCCCCCTGGAGATCGACGGAGGACACCAACTCATCGCTCAAGGTCACCGACTGGTCCACCAGTCAAGAATCAGGCGGCGACAGGATCTTCCAAAGTTCAAGTTGTTGAGCGCGACGATCCTCAGAAGGATGGACTACTGGAAGCGCAGGCATGCCAGATCGAAATGCTAAAGGAAGAGGTAAGTGGTTCAGCACTTGCCTTGATAAATTGTTCCTCACCTTTCTATAGCTCACACCAAACACCGAAGTCTTTCAGGCATTCAAAGAACAGATGGAGGAGATGGCAGCCAAAACAGAAGCGGCTGAAGAAAAGGCAAAGGCGGTTGAGGTATGCTACAATTCACTCATAGCGTAATTTATGACCTATGGGAAATAGATGCTTCACAAGGCTGATCCCATGGCCGCCTTCCAAGAGCAAATGGCGGCCATGCAGGCCAAAATTACAGCCTCTGAACAGTGAGCGAAGGATATAGAGGAGAAGGCGAGCCAGTGGGGTGCAGGATTGGAAGCGCAGATGAGGCAAGCGGAGGAGGCACATACCCGCGCTGAACAGCGGGCGGCGGAACTGGAGCAGGAGCATAAGCGCAAGATGGCGGAGATTTCAGCACAGCACATACTGGACAAGGAAGGCGAACAGCGTGCTCGGATCGAGGAGGCCGAGACTCCCAACACTGCAGGTGATACTGGTGGGACGCTGGTGCTGGATCGTCAGCGGTATTCGACACCAGACACCGAGATGGCAGGCGCCTCCACAAATAAAGGGAAAGCCCCCCAGCAGAGTGCTCCGTCATGGATTCCAAAACCGGCCACCTTCAAGACATCGGCACGCCCTTTGCCAACTTCATTCCCGTCTCGCCGACAAACGACACAATCTCCTGCAGGGAGTAGAGCCACTTCCCCGCCAGTACACACTTCACCTCCTCTGCATATGCTCGATCTGGAGGAGAAAATTGACCTCATATTGTCCAACATGAACCTACGTCCGGTGACGACGCCACGACGACGGCATGGGCCATCAGAATTTCAGCATCTGGTGGTGAGAATGAAGGAAGAAGGTCAGAATGAGAGAAATGTAAGTCATTTCATCTAATACAATTCTCCTCTGACTAGCTTCATTGACACAGAATTTGGTACGGAAACACATGAACCGTATGCTCGGTATCGTTCGCAATGATGACATCGTCGATGTCGAACTTGACAACTTTACGGCCACCAACACACTTCAGCAACGTGAGATGGCATTGTATGAGAAGAACTGTGCAGGGAGGGGTCCCTCGCTTGAGCCGCTGCGTCCGAATTGGGGCGACATCTCCAGTAGGTGGAACAAACGATTGGCGGAACTGTTTATTGAATATTGTGTGCGCAACGGATACATTGACGAGGACTTCGACTATGACGATCAGGAAGACATTCGAAAGATCTTTTTCCGATGGTTGGGGACCTTGAAGGCGAAGCTAAATTTGAGGAAGCCAAAGGGAGAAGAAACGAAGGAGGACACTGAGACTCGTGCCAAAGCCAAAGAAGAGGCACAGAAAGCAGAGAACAGGCAGCATGGACATCGCCGTGATGTGTGTAATTTCGTTCACAGATTAGACCGTCTCGCTGATCCTGCCTTAGCTCTACAACATCCAAGTGAATGGGGCAGTGACAAGACTGCCAGAAGATGATGAACATATCGACCCGCAGACACTCGAACCTGCGGTACGTCAGATTTTCAATGACCACCATGCTACCATCGCCCTGGGACAAGAAGGAATGAGTTTGGATGAAAGCTGCGACGAGGAAGACGGTTCGACGACCTACCAAGTGCACCATTTGGAATGGCAGTCAACCAGAGCGATGTGACAACTGAAACGAGATGACGAGAGATGCAAAAAAGAAGCAGGAAGGAAGGGCGGGAATCAGGGGAGGCACTGGAAGCGAGAGAGCGCGAAGGATGTCAAACCGAGCAAAAGGGCAGCGCCGGCGGGTTTGCCAATCAACGCCTACAAGAGGAGTTGGCTTCAGACGTTGGATGAAACCCAGATGGTAAAGCTCAAAGCAGGGCCGCGATGCGAATTCATCGAGTCCGAAGGGGAGTAAGGACATGTACATCCATAGATACTGCGCTACGCTGGTCGTAGAATAAACCACGATGCAGTTTCAATACACTGTCGAGGTGAACCAGGACAGATGCAGGGTCTCAGAGGTTTTGAAACGCATCTGTCAAGGAGATCCAAGACAGATGAGAGGTGTGGGGAGGCGGCTAAATGAAAGGAAAGGATTGTCTGCCGAGGAGATCCATGGCAGGCGCACAGGAGGCGGTGGACCTACATCTGTCTTGGGTAGATGTGGATAAGGAAAGAGACCAATGCGCCTCAATGCGAGTGTTGAGGAGGAGCAAATAAAGGCTGTTGCCAAACACGCTTCTGACAAATAAACAACATCGTTTAGCAACACGCTCTTATTGTTCTTCTCTTAACAACATCGTTTAGCAACACGCTCTTATTGTTCTTCTCTTAACAACATCGCGCCAACGTCCCGCCTCCCTTCCTTTCCCTCATCCTTGAGACACGTCGACAGAATCGTGCGCCTATTGTGCTGTTGTGGGTCACCTAAACAGCACTTATCTCCCTTCCCTCACTGTTGTGGATCTCCTAGACAGTGATCATCCTTCACCTGCTGTAGTGGATCTCCTATACAGCATTTCCTCCGTCCTTTTGTCTCGCCTACCATGTCCTTCCCCATTCCTCCCCTTTCCGGATACGAGCGAGCTATGCTCTATCATCTAAACGAGCCACTTGACCCATCTCGTGGCCATGCTATCATTCTCAATGGCGATATCTTCTTCTCTCCCAATTCTCAACGTACCATCAGAGCCCCACCCACGCCAGAAGATCCTCTCCGCAGAAAGCCGTACAAAAACTCAGTGGATGAATTCCACCAGCCTCGTTGGTGGACTTGAGAAACTGGGTACTTAGCGTTCTTGCAGCTCCGCCCTGTATACAACTACATTCCCGAGCTCTTTAATTACCCTGGCACGGATAGGCCAAAAGGGGTCAGTATGAGCCCTGAGCAAGTCCTCGCATGGGCGCGGTTCGAGAAAAACATCAAGACAATGTTTCAGTCGTTGTCCGGTGCTACCAGCATACTGCGAGTCGAGCCAATTATCGACACAGCCTGTGGCTGTGCAGGAACATACCACAATGCTCATGATTTCTATTGTGCCGAAAAGAGGTTGAGGGAATGGTTTTCTCTTTGGGTCGCCATGCTGTCATATGCGATTGCTGTTCTCCAAGCACCTCCCAATCTAACATGCAAATCAGTGGCCCTTCCCACCTGGTATCAATGCCTTCACAAGGATAGCTGGGACGACATCACGCTCTCCTGTCTTCAGCAAAATGCTGCCCAATTCACCAACCCAGAAGAGCGGGTCAGGTGTTTCGTGGATATCGGCCTAAATCCAGCACACCGAACATCGGTGGACTGGTTATGTCATTTCAACATACCAGTTTGGTACCCATGGGGCGTCCAGCAGTCCTCATCGCAAGATAACTTCATGAAGCACCTTGCGCCACTTCCAGAACAGCTGCAACTTGTGATGACTTTCTTCAACAAGCAACCCAATGCCTCAACAGGTCCAAAGCCTTGGGAAGCCCACTTTGCGTCCATCGAGAAGCAGATCGCACTGTCTAGGAACACTGCTGAGTTGAGACAATGTGGTCCAGACAAAAACACAAAAGTTTATCTCTGGGAGAAAACCCACCAGGGTACCTACAGTCGTGTCTTCATGTACAAATCCAAATGGAAGGACACCTTGGAGAGGTTTGGGCGAAATCAAAAGCATTACAATCCCTTACTCAACGAGTGGGATTGCAGGGAAGACCTTGGAGAACTAGACCCAGAGGAGCGGCAGGCGAACTATTATTATGGTGGAAGTGATGACAAGGACGGTGTTGACCTCGATCTGCCTTCAATTCCTGCCAATGCTGACACATTGAACCGCCGTGTTAGGTCCGTCTCTCCGCCCTCCCCAGCTCCTCGTCCTTCGTCTCCTCATCAGGCATCACCCATTGCCTCAGCACGCCCTTGCTCTTCCCACTTACTTCCTCAAATCACAAGCAATCCTGCAGAAGGCACAAGAACCTCGGATGCGCCCGCCTCTGATCCACCCCCGACACCAGTCGTGCAACCTCTGCAAAGCTCTACCACTAGATTGTCGAACTCAGTGGGCCGTCTTTCAGATTGCGACATTGTGCCAGAGAGGTATTCTCCTCTCGAAATGCTGTACTTGTTCTGGGGGTTCACTTCTCCCCCTTCTGCAAGTTCGACTTCTTACCTCCAAATGCACTTTGACAACTTTCGTGTCTCTAATCTCATCAAGGGTATTGGTGTCTTGTCTTTGACGGACAACTTTCTCCAATCGCGGACAGGTATGGCAGCTTTGGACTTCTTTCGCTGCCTAACAGAAACTCAATCGACACCGCTGAGAAATGAGCTTTTTGACCTATCCATTTCGAACCTCCACAAGCTCCCAACGTCAGGCCGTCTCCGATTTGTGCGTAAGTTCCTGGGGGACTTGTTCGTCTTTGCCTTCGGAAATGCTGCAACAGTACCTTGGAGGCTTGCTGTAATGAGTGCGAGAGATGCCCTTTTTGTCTGTCGGTTGGAATTGTCAATGAAGGATTTTGAGATCTGCCTCGAACTGCTCCAGTGTGGGATGCAATTCTGCACCCTGCTACCACTCCCAGAGTTTATGCCTGTGCCCTCGCCTGAGGCCCCTCTTGCTCTCCGTCCGCCAAAACATGTATTTTCAACTCATGACTATGAGGCCTATATCCAAGACCGGACTTCCCTGCTTCGCAACCCTAGGGTTGGTCGCGCAGCGTTGAGGCGAGGCAGTATCCTTTGGCGATTGGCTATAACAGTGGTTAGTTTCCAAGATGTTCTCAATGGTCCTACGATGGCTGTCACACTAGACCACCAATGCGAGATGTACAAACCAGGTGATAAGAAGCTTTGGTGTGATGACGTTTTGGGAGACACCGAGATTGAGATGCTCTGTGGCATCTATTGCGTCCCTACTGGTATGTCTTCCATCTTAAACCAGAAGCACACTAATCACTTTCTAGGATACGGTACTCAGATGTCAACCGTGTCATGGTGGCCTACCAATGCTAGCTGGTGGGTGAATGTTGGCAACACCTGCTGGAACAACGCCTACGAAAAGATATTTGAAGACCGGCTAGCAGCCATAAAGGCGGGAGAAGCTCAACCACTTCCACCATCGGCTTGGCGCTTGATACTTCAACCATACAGCCACATTCGCAGAGCTCACACCACTGCTGAATTGCTTGCTTCTCAGTTCATGCGGCAGCAATTGCGAGGGTGAATGTGTTGACACCTTTTGCTAGTGATCGCCTTAGCCCATGCTAAGCATCTCAGGAGCGACAGACACATCGCGCGATTTCTTTTTGTTGCATGTAAATGTCAATTTTAGCAGGCATGTACATCTCACATAAATGATGTCTTAAAGGGGTAATTTTTGTCGTCTATAAATGTTTTGTCCTAATTTACCCCTTTATTAACATGTGAAATGAAGTCTTTTTGTCGTGAATGTCTGGACTCAATAAATGAGGTTACTTTGTTTCCTTTAGGAAAGTCACAAAAAGATGCAGAAGGTGCAAGTTTTATTGTCTTTTTCAGAATGACAAAAAGCATGTGTTTTTTGCACATCAAAAATGTTCATAACAGGTCACGTTTTGAAGCTATTTATTACATGATTTAAATGTTCCTCAATTGTGTGATTTCTTGCTGAGAGAAATTCGCTTCAATGGGTAAATTTGTGACCACATTAAGGTAACCAAAAAATAAAAATACAGTTAATTTTTCTACTCTACATAAAGGGGCTCAATAATGTTTAACACTCCCACGATGCCTTTTTACGCGCACATAAAGTGGCTTCCCACAGCAGTGACCCACACATCGTCAGAAAAAGTTGTTCTCAGCTCAGGTCCACGAACACAACAATCGAGCTAGCTATGCCCACTCTTTATATACCCATGAAAGTTCAATGTTCCAATGTCAACATTCAACGTTCAACGTTCAGCAGTGGCTCCGTCCTCTTCCTTACCTTCAAGAATGTTGACACCGTTGACACCACCTGTCGAATCAAACGACCTTGGTTGCCGCAGACCCTCCACCATGGTCCGTCCTGGTTCGTCACACTGCTCCTTCTTGAATAATACTCACATGTGTTCAGCAGAATGGATCGGTTGATTACCCTCAGCGAAGCTTCACTTGGACTCAAAGAACACTGTTTTCGTCACCCAATGCAGCTGATGTGTCACTCGATTTTTTGACCAATGGGTAGACACCAATCCCACTCATACACTTTTGTTATTTACCTTGGCTTCTGCATACTTATATTCTCCTTTTATCGACAGACGGCCTCTCGCTTTCCAAACCTGTCATTTCTACAACCCTGCCTACCATTGTCTTGCCCATATACCTACCTTCTGAGATGTGGATATCGTTGCCCTAGCGTCTTCCTTAGAGGTGAGCCCTTGCCTGACTCACATTCTCATTTCCCACTCCCCCTACCATGTTTACCCCGACATTCATCACTAATATTTGTTGGCAGTGTTCAACACTGGCATGATATCAAGATCACATTATCGATGGGTGACCATAGGCATACAAGCATCTACTGGATGTCTCACAGAGCTCCATGGGTAGGGGTTGAAAAAGATTGGTAAGTCCTGGTTTCGTCTACTCCTCCTCCTTGCTCACTCGACTCAATGCTTAGTTCCTTTCTTAAGGCGGACTACGAAACTATCCAGCATTCCAACACTGTTTTACACCTACGTCACCACTGAAAATTTTTTGCACCTTGTTGGCCTTTCAAATCGTTGATTTTTCGATCTCTTCATCGACAACAATACCCAGATCGAAGTTTATCAACAAATCGCCTCTGGCAAAGGTAGCGAAATGGACAGAGGTCCCTCTGGATCATAGAACAAGCTGTACATTTCCTTCGACCATGTTCACCCAATTTCATCCACGATGTCGTCCAATTTCTTTTGCCACCTCCCCCTCCCCTCACACGAATTCCCAGGGTCCAATGAAAGACAGACTTATCTTGCAATCCGGCTGCCATTTTCGTTTCCCCTAGGACAACATGAATAGCGAGTGACGGTGCTACAGCAGCGAGATCCAGAAGGATGACGTTGGCACAAACGGTGCAAGGGCGGGGGTGAATGAACGATTGGGTCGAGCATTGGCTAATGACGGGTCTCTGAGGTTTGAGGCCCGTGGGACCCAGGAAGAGTATACTCAATGCTCCAGGCATTCCATGATCACCCCCTCCTGCCACCTACCTCTCTGCTCTCTGACATCCGCCATTTGGCACCCCACGTATCTCACCTGATCCTGATCTTCATCTCAGTCAACTTATCTTCCGTGAATAACTATACTTATCTAATTCAGCCCACTTCAGCCCAAAAAAAAAACAATTTCTTTATCAGTAACATCGTCAATCTCACATCTATGACTGTCCGTACTGGACAAAAATACACCTATTTCATTTTATACCCCTTGTGAAATCTACTTTCTCCTGTGATCAGCCCTGATCGGCCTCAATCGGCCCTGATCGGTCTCTACGCCACGTTTTTCAGAGATTCTTCCCTAATCGTTAACAATTGGCAACGACAGACTGCAATTTTTCACCAAGTGCACGAAACTTTTCATGAGGCTATAGTTGGATTTTAACAGAGTCACAATTCGACAATGTGTGAGTCAAAATCCTTCTGCCCAGCCAGTATAAAAAAATTCCTTCACCAGATCTGAAAATTTTTGGCTACAACTGACTATTTTAAAGGGATCATGAGTCTCTATTTGACCCAATTTTTGACAATGTGCAGTGAATACTTTTTCTCTCACATGATTTTATTGTCTAGGCAGTCGACAATTCCTTACTGATCCTCACGATTCCTCATGATTCCTCATGGTTCCTCACGATTTTATTCGACGCCCAGATATTCTGCCAATAAATTTATTTGTATAGTTGTAGATGGTCACCTGTACATAATACACGTGATTGTGCAAGTATTTGCATGCCCATGCAAAAGAAATACCCTAAGCAGGTGGCACGTGTCCAGCAGCCTGCACTGGCCCTGAAGTTCAGTCGATGCGAGATGGCCTTGCTCTCTCCAACAATTCTTTCCATCCACAAGGACCTCACAGGCATCAAATACCTATATAGTAGATACTCATGGCCGCCACGGGTGATGTCGGTCACACCAATGTGTCACACCAAACAGATTGATTGACAACTTTAAAATCTCAAGTACTGGTCTTCGTTCTGCAAATCAAGCCACAAAACTTTGACATTAGATACTTAGATATATGGAGTCCATGAATGTAATATTAAAATCCAGTATGTCCCCCTCTTGCAGCTAGGACAGCCTTAACATGATGATCCATCTTTCCAATTTGATGATTGATAACCTCCACAGAAATCCCCTCCCACACATGCAAAATGGCAACGCGCAGCCCATCAACAGTTGTAGGTGGATGTGGAAGGTGTCTGAGAGTTGATTTAAGAAGGTGCCATATGGGTTCGATGGGATTTAGGTTGGGCAAAGAAGGAGGATGTGGGAAGAGTGGGATGCCATGTTGGGCAAACCACTTCTTTGTGACCTTGCTGCCATGGCTGGGAGCGCTGTCTTGCTGAAATGTCATATTCCCTCTCTCTTGGTTTAAGAGATAATAAAAAGGAAGGAGAACAGGCTTGAGAACCTGTTCTCGGTAGCGTGTAGAATTCATACCTCCTCCCTTGCCCCCTGGATACTCCAACACAACCAAAGGCCCTTTCCAATCCTCAGCGATGCAACCCCAGACCATAACACGTACTGTTGACTGCTTGAAGGTTGGAACTAGACATTCCTCCAGTGATTCTTTGTCTGGTCACCGCGTAACATAAATCTGACCGCAATCATCCCCGAGGTAAACGTAGCACTCATTGGAAAACATGGTACATCGCCAGTTGGAGGGCTGGAAAGATTGGTGGATGCGCGCCCAATTGAGTTGTTTTTGTTTATGAGCAGGTGAGAGGTACGGCACCTTGCACGCAACCCTCCGGTGAAATCCTTGTGCGGCAATGACACATTGAATAGTCAAAAGTGATACACAGGTGGCAAGTCAGTTTGTGATCTCTGTCAATGGCATTCGTCAATGCTTGATTACTTTGCGGATGACCTGTCATTTGCCATAGTTGGATAGCTTCTCTGACGGACCTGGCCGAGATTTGTTGGACGTTTCCCTGGTCTCCAGGAAATGTTTGTAGATGTGTTGCGCTGTATGCTCATTGACGTTCTTGTTCCGGCCCGCTGCCACTGCATTTCCTGAGGCCTGGGCATAACCGATGATTCGATTTCTCATGGGTGTGTCAACCTTATGGTGTGAGGTTTTCAGAGGTAACTACTACATAAGCGACATCACCCATGGCGGCCATGAGTAGATCTATTAACCATGGCTCACATGAATCCCCAGAAAAGCAATAATAAAGCTCAGAAGGTTGTATATGCTAATAAATCAGACTTGGGCTTGATGATGTCAGCCCCTCCCTGGTTGCCCATAATCTGTGAAAGACGTAGCCACCCCTTGCATCATAGGTGAGTCTGCTGAATTAAGCGACCCAATTGAAGCTCTCGTTGACCAGGGAAGGCTTCTCAGATCGAGATCAAGTGTGATCAGCTGAGCTGCTGAGGCCCCAAAGCCAGGAAGGATGCTGATTGGGTGAGTGGCAGCTGAGCAGAACCTGCTCTATTTGGCGCTCACATGGTGTGATCTTGATGTCACTGACCTGTGGGAGTGCATTGCCAAATTCTTGAGTGTCGATGCTACCTACAATGAGTTTTAGGATCCTTTTGCTCAGTGATCTTGCCAATTACCACCTTTCTCATCACCAAACGGCGCATTTCCACAATGGAGAAAGAGCCTTTCACCCAAGGATTCCAGCCTGACTTATGGTCTCTCATTTCGTGATGCCTAGAGATCGAAAACCCTGATCATTTCCTGGACACACCCTACACCATAGAGAACGTTATGGATGCCGCACACTTCATCCTTTGTGGATTGTCTAGCAATATTCTGTTGCCCTTGCCCACAGCAACAACTTTGACAACTTCTCTGTCACCAGACTCTGTCAAACTCAAAGCACTTGGCCCAATCTTCTCAGAACTCACCAAAACGATCATTGGAGCCCTTCAGCAGTTGAACCAGCCTTGCCAGCCTCGTTCTTTGTTGTCTCCAGCCCTGGTAGCTTGCAGGTTTTGTGGAAGAGCCCATTTTATGCAGGATTGTGAACTTGTCATGGAGTACTCTCACGCTGGCAAGTGTAGGTGAAATGTCTGAAAAGTTGTCCTTCCATCAGGAGCATTTGTTCTGAAGGATATTCCAGGCAATTTGCTCAAAGATCATGTTGATGAATGGCATTGTCGAAATCCAAACCAGCTCGCTGCCGGCATGCTTCTCAACTTGATGGCACCACCCACCACCATTGATTCTTTGCCTCCAAGCTTTGAAATTCAATCTACACAGCAGACATTGAAGAAGGATTGCATTGCCACCATCGCAGCTGAGTTATCTCACCTCCGTGCTTGACAACTCCCCAGTTTCGTTGCTGTTGCTCAAACACTTGCTCAGATGCTTTGCACCACTTTCCAAGATGAAGGAGAAGCTACTCCCACCTCACCGCCGCTTCCTGATGCCCTGTGCTTGCCACTGACCAAGATATCACTCCAGAACGCACTATTCGAGAAGCACCAGACACCATCTATGTTTACTTGCAAGACAAGACCGTTGACACTGCACTCGAGCAAGAAACACCCAAGAAACTTGGCACCGTGTATCTCATGTTACCACTCACAAACGACATCAAATTAGCATCTGCCAACTGCGACATTTTGTCAAATACTTCACCCACCATCATCCAGTATGAGCTCCCATCCCTATTTGCCAAAATTCGACCCCATAACTCTGAAACAACCACCACGCAATCCCATACAACCAAGGGGACTCACCCACACAATAACACACTCAAAGAAGGCACCACCACCTGAGAAATCTGCTGATACATTCTATTCAGCCCCTCCGAGCATCACACTTACCTCTAGCCCATATCCCAGCCCACCAGATGCATTCATTGCCAATTTTGACAGGTACAAGCCCTCCTATCGCACTCTCCATCCTGACCACACTCCCAACCTCAACAACTCTATTATATCAAAGATTTTGGCCACTTTCTGCTTCTATCTCCCTCTAGACAATGAGAATCGACACCTCGAATGCCTTCTCGACCCCAGCAGTCAAATTTTTGACTCTTGGCCTTTCATTTCCCCAACAGCAATTGTTCACAATGATCTGCTGCAGCAACAAACGTCTCAACAATCGACGCCGCTGCACCCCCTGCTACTGCCCTTCACAAATAGTCAAAATGTCTGGAAGCATTTCATTCCCAAGTATCTGTTGCCTGCCAAGGATCTGCTCCTCAAAAATGTGTCCGGACAACACGAGACTGTACTCACATCCTTGGTACACTTGTTCACTACCATCACGCCTAGGAATCTTTTCATTTTAGGTATAAAGGGTCTGTCATTAGTCAGCCATGTCTGCTAGAAATCTGTATCAAACACTGTATTTAAACAGGGTATACTCACATGTCAGGACTGTGATTAAGCAGTCCATCCACAAAGAGGCTGTTGCTGTGTGTGCCAGGGCTCAATGCTGTGGGCAGGACCTGTCAACACAAGCAAATAATGCAGGAAACAATGCCCAAGCATTGTTCCTTGTCATTTTTGGTGGTCCCGCCCCCGTTTTCAATGGGGAAAAGGCACCAACAATGAGGAAACATATTTCCTCATTGTTGTGCACTGTTTCCTCCATTGTCAGGGGGCGGGATTGGGTGGATTGGGCCACATGTGTTTGGATGATGCGGCCTTTTTTCAGGTCCCATAGCTATTTTTAGATAATATTGTAATTACCATGACACATCCATTGTGATGCTCTCGCTGTCGTCTGTCATGACATCCAGCGAGCTCAGGAGCACCTCAAAGCACACAAAAAAAAGTACAAAAAAAATCATATTAAATCAAAATAAAATATACACATGGTGCGGGTGGCTCTACCAGCCACCCACTATGAGATAAGGAGAGAATGAGTAGAAACAATGTGTTGTGATGCATCGTTTCTGCTCTGGTTCTGGTCTGTGCCCTGTTGCAGCAAGAAAATGCAAAAAAATGCATTATATTGTAATAAAATAGATACATGCTGCAGGTGCAGCCATGTAGGCTAGAATTATACATGAAACTAGGCTACTGGTAATTCTCAGTCATAAATCATAGCTGTCAGTAGGCAGCCAGGCCTTTTTATATGTGCTGCTGGGCTTGCCGGGGCTCAGGACTGTCTGCCAAGGCTGTAGGGCACTAAACAATGACCAAACAATGCTCGAGGACATTGACTAGGGACCTTGTCATCATTGGGGGGCGGGACAGGGCACGGGAAACCTTCCAAATTGGGTACAACACAGGAGAATGCCTCTCCAAGATGCCCAGCAATGTAACTGGCCTCTAGCTTGTCATTGGGGACAGCAGGCAGCCCCATATTTTGGAAATATAATGTCGGGGTGTCTTCTTATCCATTTCAGGTGTTTGCGCGCCACACGGAGGGCGGGATGGGGTGGATGGGTGAGGGAGTGTTTGGATGTAGTTCTATTTTTAGAACAATGACAACCAGCAAGCTCAGACACACTCAAAAAAATGACAAAAAATCATATTAAATTGAAATAAAATTATTACATGATGTAGGTGGCTAGTAGAGCCACCCACTGCAAGGTAAAGACAAAAAGAGCAGAAACGACATGCCATGAACATGCCATTTCTGCTTGGGAGGGGGGTGTTTAGTCATGGCTGTCACCCTCACGTTGCGTTGCTCGTGCTTGCCTTTGTGCCATGCCCAATCGCACTCCCACTGTGGTCATCACCGTGGTGTGGTCGTCCTCGCACTGTCGCATGGTCGTCGTTGCCGTTGTATGGTCATTGGGGTTCTGAGGTCGTTGTCATGCCCTACTGACCATCCTCATTGAGCACGAGGTGCTGCTCACCTTGCCGATCTGTTCACCTGGTCCGTCTGCTCGCTTGATCATGCTGCCACCATCGTGGTCGGCCCGTAGTCCCCAATCTGTTGGCATGGGAGAGGGAGAGGGAAAGGCAAGAGATGGGAAGCTGGATGGGCAGACGAGAGCGACCTCTTGCAAACAACCGCCACCTCCGCTCATGCTCCAGCCATGTCAGCTATAATTTTATATCAAACCTTGTGTTTAGCCAGTGTGAACTCATAGATCAGGACTGTGATTAAGCAGTCAGGTTTTCTGAGGCTGCTGGGGTGAGTTTGCTGAAGATGCTGGGGCCATAGGGATTTGTTTGGAGGTGGGAGGGGGTAAATAAATGACCAAACAACCCTCCTGGGGGTGGGGCGGGGGTTGGGTAGGCCTGCGGGGGCGGGAGGGGTGGGGAAAGCATGGGAAATCTGTCTGAAACAGGGAGGGATGGTGGGGCATGCATGATAGGGGCTAGTGGGATGGCAGGGTGGGTTCTGGGTGTGGCGGGGGGCCTAAAAATGGGTTGGGCAGGGCCTATTATGCATGCTAATAATTGTCATGACCCCCACGGGGTGCGGGATGGGCTGGGGGAGCCAAAAACGCGAAAAATCCAGAGTCTTTTGCATTTTTAATACAAAACAATTGAATAACAAATTGAAAACTTGACATTTCACCGTGAAACTTTGCAGACCTTTGTATCTATAGTGGGGGGTGCTTCACAAATATTTTGAGTATTTATTATTAATTATGGGGTGCGCCACACAGCCAGGAATAGTGTGCATGGTGGGGTTTGATGTGCTTTGCCAAATTTGGCAATAAAATGATGCCTGCACATCCGTGCATAATTCCGGCTCCCCCTCGCATTATTTCGCTTAGCTTTGGCTGAGCGAGATGTTGGATACATTGACACCTTCCTGTAGACTCTTCGATTGCATGAAACGGGTGAGAACTCGTTGAGATATGGCAAACACGATTTTGGCTACTACAATGCATGGTGCACCCATGCATCCTTGGGTGCATTTAGGCCCATTTAAGTCGGTCAAAATTTATTAAATACATGTCTGAGAGTAATAGTACCATTGATAATGCCAGGGGGTGTCTGGGTGTAGTATATCTGAGGGGGGGTATAGGTACACCAGGAGACCCACTCCGGATACCCCACTAAATGTACCTCTGAAAGTCTGAAAGTTGGTACGTGGATAGTATATATTTATTCATGAATTTAACATATTTATCATAATTTTATATTGCCTGGAAGTTGGGTTATTGACCCATTTCACACAAGCTAAGATATTCTATTGACATCCAGGATGGGAGATATTGGCCCATGTAAAATCATGATAACGGTGTTGTCGTGCTCCTGCCCACATCCCTATTGAAGGGGAGGGGCGCGAGAAGCAAAGAAAACGAGCGTCGACTTGAAGTCGACATTCGTGGGCCTAAATGGAATTAAAACATGTATGTTAGAGTATACACACATGAATAGACATGTTGCTTACCTGTTTTTCAGTCCTGGGGTGTCGTTGGACGCTTTGGACGGCGAGGGGAGGGCCAGGTGGCGGTTGAGGACAAGCATCAACCACTCTCATTGTCATTGATGGCAAGTCTGGCAGATGCCGTCCGTGAGCTGATTGGCTGGAATGGGCGGCCTGTCTGACTTCCGTTCTGCTCATTCACAACAGAATCAATATTGCATAGCACAGATTGCAAAGACCGATTATTGGAGCATCGGTATATCATCATATGATATAATTATACCTATTTACTTGTGTCCGAGGATAAATTTCCAGAAGGGAAACATAGAGTAGTGATGTGACCTATACATTTGCCTTTAGCTAGACCACAGGACTATATCCCATGTATGAGAAACCTAGAATTAAAGAGTATGAGCCATAAGAAGTGAATTAATGACTTGTGTGCTGCTCTCCTGAGCTTTCTGTATGCGAACTCGTAGCCCTTGCAAGCAGATGAGATGTGTAATGAAACACAAATTGAGCTAAAACACACTTTTGAGGGGTTTTCAAAGCACCCGTCTCACTGGCTCAGCCACAAAACAATTTATTTAAAGTATATATATGTTATGAGTACAACTGTCATTTAATTTTGGGTGTCAGTGAAGTGTAATGGGCTCAATAGTACGAGGAGGGTGTGGTGATCTCGGTACATTGGCTGTCGGACCGAGTCATCCAACCAATTGGATGAGGCGTGGTGTTTGCCGGATAATGAACAACGACAGTTCGTCGTCATTGATCATTATCCATGACCGTGACCACCACCTCCTGCACACTCTCTCCCTGCTAGCCAGCCTCGAAACACAAAGAAAAAGGTAAATTTATGCATTTTTGTGTCTATTTACCCTGACTAAACACCTTTTCCGGCATCTCAGGAGCCCGCCCACATCAATGTTGACGTGATGAAGCCACTGTGTGCCCCTCCCCTCATGACAGGGATGTGGGCCAGCGCCAATTGATGCCCACCGCCGCCTCACCTTCCTCCTATCTATGCCGGCCCACCCACCTCACTCTTGCCTGTGCCCTCTCATGCACGCCCTCTCCCCTCGTCTTCCCCACTCACCCACACTCACTTGGTCACTCACCACACGAGCACTCCCAAACCCTCCGTCCCTTCAGCTCTCGCCGAGCACCTTCCCCTACCAGGGCTGTGAGCTGTTCTCCACGAACTCCCGATGCACGGTGCTTCATAGATGGTGTCAAGGGCAAGTGGATGACGATAGCGAGCGCCTATGGGTTGAGTGGGCGAGAGGGTGGCTTCAGCATGGTGCAAGATGACAGATGGGGTGAAATGTGAAAGGCGAGGACGAGACCACCACGATGTTGGCAAGACGAAGAAGGCGAGATGAGCAAGACAGTGCCTGCCATGGCCAGCATGAGTCACCCCAAACATCCCGTCTGCTCACCTCACCACGGCGTGGACACGACAAATGACACAATGATGGCGCAACGACAATTGCAATGACAAAGAGAACACGAGGGTTTCCCCATCGCCCTCGCCTTACCTGCCCCGTCTCTTCTCACCCGCCCTGCTTCGCCTCGCCTGCCCTGTCTTGTACACCCTCTCCAGCCGCTGTATGCCCCTTCCCTTGTCACAGGGATGTCCTCAACCATCCCCACTACCCACCTTGCCCAGCCACTTCACACACATGCACACATTCCCTCCCATGCTCGCCCCTCTTGTCTCGCTCATTCACCCTCATGGTGTCTTGGAGATGCCGTGTAACGCATGGGCGAGGCACAGGCCAGAGCAGACGTGGACGTGGATGAGCTACTAACAACAACTTCGAGTTGGCGGGGCATGAGCAGGATGGCATGGGTGAGAGGGGCATGACACCAGGGACAAAAACAAACAAGTAGTGTCGTGTGAGGGGGGCATGAATGAGCACAGGGGGTGGGTGATGACACAGAGGGAGGGCAATGACACAGGGTGAAGATGAGCACCCCTGCAACCAGCAGCATGAGGAGAAGACGACGACCGCAGTGTGAGGACCAGCATAGCACGAGGATGACCATGGGGGGCAAGCCCAAGTAGGACAAGCACGGCGCAACAATGATGAATGGCACAAGCCCAAGCAGGGCCACCATGGCACAAGGGTGACGATGGCGCGAAGACAAGGACAGCATGGGAGTGGCGACATCGGGGATCGCACGAGGGCGGAGAACAATGAGGACGGCATGAGGGCAGAGAATGACCAGGACAGTAAGTCAAGGACCATGACAATGAGGACAGCACAATGATGATGACAGCACAATGACAACGACAGCATGACGACAACGACCATGTCATGAGCCTGAGCAGGATCGCCGCTGCACGACTCCAAGCAAAACCAGTACATGGTGAGGGCAGGCACAACCAGCACAAGGCGAGGGCGAGCATGGCCAGTATGATGCGAAGGCGAGTGCGACCTACCACGATGCGAGGGCGAGCAAGCCAGGTCCCCAAGCAGAAATGGCACATTCATGGCGCGTCATTTCTGCTCTTTTTGTCTTTACCTTGCAGTGGGTGGCTCTACTAGCCACCTACATCATGTAATAATTTTGTTTCAATTTAATATGATATTTTGTCATTTTTTTGAGTGTGTCCGAGCTTGCTGGTTGTCGTTGTTCTAAAAATAGAACTACACCCAAACACGCCCTCACCCATCCACCCTGTCCCGCCCTCTGTGTGGCGCACAAACACCTGAAATGGGTAAGAAGACATCCCGACATTATAATCTCAAAAGATGGGCCCGCCTGCTGTCCCCAACGGCAAGCTAGAGGCCAGTTACATTGCTGGGCATCTCAGAGAGGCATTCTCCTGTGTCATACCCGATTTGGAAGCCTTCCCATGCCCAGTCCTGTCCCCAATGACAACGAGCACCCTATTCAATGTCCCCGAGCATTGTTTGGTCATTGTTTAGTGTCCCCACAGCCTCGGCAGACAGTCCTGAGACCTGGCAAACCCAACAGCACATAGAAAAAGGCCTGGCTGCCTACTGGCAGCTATGATTTGTGAATGAGAATTGCCAGTAGGCATGTATTGATACATGTCTCTAGCTGTTACAAGTGAAATAATGAGAAACTTCTATGATGGGTTGTGAAGCGGCTTGAACAGCTTCACAATTTGTAGCGAATAGTGATGATGAGCCCCTTTTTCTTACAATTTCCCTCCATACTAAATGAAAATTCAATGTTGTGGGCCACAACATTCAACCGTGCAATGTACAGCGGCAGCCGTCCAAAGGCAGTTGAAGGTCAGGTCTATATGGGAGAACTCTGGCCAGCTCTTGGAGATTCAGTTTGTACGTCAGGTTGGGGCAGCAAAGGAGATGGCCATGTACGGCTGTCACCAGGAACATCTCACAATATAAACAAAGTAAAACAGTCTATTGGAGGTACGAACAATGAGAATAGGGGATATCTACAAACGGCAGGCATGGCATGAGCCAGACGAAGGTGCTGCTTGAGGATCATCAACGTGCAAATGGTTTTTGCCTTGAGGCTGGCACGACGAATCAAAATCATGTCACAGCCACCCGAGAAGATGCACTCAACAGCAACAGCAGATCCTAGCCAGCCAATCAGTATGGTATGCAGTAATATAACTTCAATAATTTACCTGGTATGGCCAGAATATCATGAGCAAGGCGATAGAGGTTGGGGAACTGAAGATGATGAGCATACCACCACTTGATGGGGTCGCATGCGTTGAAGTCCTCTTATGGAAGGCAAAAGTATTCAGTCAGCTCATCTGTGGTTGCCCATGGACGACACTGATAGTGAGCAGTGAAGTTGGTGATAGGTGCTGATGACACCGAGGTCCCCAGAGTCGAATGCGATGAGGCTTGAGTGGATGAGGGGGAAGGAGTGTGACGTCCAGCATAATTGGTGAGATAGTATGTTCTGAGCTCGGTTTTGAGAGTTTCAAGGCTGTCAGAAAGATCAAGGTTGTTGGCAAAGTCTTCAGCGAGAGCAGTGTAAGAGATGCGCGGGTCCAACACTTGATTGAATACCATGTCAGCTGTGATCACAATAGAGATAGAGGAAACATACAGGCGGCCCAACAAACATGCGGCGACTGGTCAAACTTGAAGTAATAATCACTCAGCTTTTGATGGGCTCGAACCAGACCGTTCTTGACATTGGTGGGAACATTGGCAGGCAGGGAGTGTAGGATGGTCTTGAGCTTATCTTGCAGTCCTCAGAAGATTGCGTATGTTGTTGAAAGCATTGGGGTCTTGGTACCCAACATCTGTTGGGTCGCATCCTTGAAGATATGAAGCCAGTCCATGACCATCTTGACTGAGGTCCAGTCCTGGTCAGTCAGCTCATACGGACGAAGCTGGCAGGTCTTTGCAACAAAGTTGTTGAGTGGCTTCTTGAGCTCTGCAGCACGCTCTGTCAAAAATCATGTTTATTAGCCTTGTTTGGGGTAATTAGGTCAAACAAAGACTCACAAAGCATGTCATAGGTTGAGCCCCAGCGAGTACGGATGTCCAAGATTAACATGAGCAACTTCAAGTTGTCCCTAGTTGCCACGTTATGTGAGCGTATCTTGTCAAGCCATGCAGCATGACATTGGGGGCTGGAACGAACAGCACAAACAATCTTGCGAAGCTAAAACACAGTCAGTAAAGCAAAGGTATGAGAACTCCTGAGATTACCTTGCCAATTGCCGATGTGTCAATTGGGTCAATGGTATCGAGGTTGAGGGGCTTGCTGTCGACAATATTTGGGTCTTCGTCATCATCACCAGGTGCAGAGCTGCCAGCAGCTTCCTGATATACAACAGAACTTGTGCCTGCTCGAGTAGCTTCACCGATGGAGATGGCACCAATGTTCTCGAGGAGCTGGTCAATGAGAATCTTAAGTCAAAGTGGAAGTAGAAAACATTGGAGCTGACATACCAGTACAGCGGCCAAATGAATTGTGTGGGGCATGCAGCAGCCACGCGCATCCTGTGCCGAAAAAGGGATGCCCTCTTGCTTGCACCGCGATGCTATACCCTCAACAAGTGTGTCATTGTTAAATGCATTGTCCATAATGAGGGACACAATCTAAAAGGTATATCAGATACAAAATAGACATAAAATTGTCATAGAGACATACCTTTCCTTTCAAACCATAAAGCTCAAGCGTCTCCCAGACCATCGACACCATGTTCTCGCCACTGTGTTCTCCAATGATTTCTTTGAAGTCGATCAGAAGCTCTTCTATAGTATATTAAGATACAATTAATAAGGAACAAAGACGCATAGCCGCTAACCTGATTCCCCATTGTTTGTGATGTAGTGAGCAACTATAGCAAGAAACACAATCTGATTCTCTGATGTCCAAGCGTCCAAAGAGAGCAACACTTGTGATTCAAGAGCCTATAAAAGAATGAGCAAAAGCAATAACAAAAGAACTACCAACATACCTCAAACGAAGATTTGACTCCCTCAATAGTGTCCTCCCCAAGCTTCATGATCTTTGTACATATTGTGGTGCAGCCTGGTGTCTTCAGCGGTTGGCATGAAAATAGATGTACATAGGAAAGTAGCTCCTTGAACAATGGACGTTCAACAACATCAAACGGCTCATCACATTCAATGATCCACTTGGCAAGGAGCTCTTCAAAGTGTCCTTGATCCCAAGTTGACTATCACAAGAATAAGAAGAAGTAGAAAACCAGAGATGGATGACATACCGCCAATTGTTTTGAAAAGGTGTCATCGAGCGTGGATATCGGCTCTGCCAACTCTCGCACCTTCAGGTAGTCAGCCATATCTTTCTGGCTCAACTCCTTTGAAGCTGACGTGATCTTGATTTCAATTTCAGTAGGTGGCTCCCTGCGTTGTTCAAGGTGTGCCCAAAGCTTGTGCATCTGAGGGAAGTGGGCCTCGAGGTGATGGATCATGTCTAAAACAAGAGGCATAAATATTTTGACAACGAAGAGTAGGAAAGGAGAAGAAATACTTTTGACACTGTGTTTCATAGCAGGTGTGATGGTAAAAACCTTGCATGAGCCATGATAGCAACGGTAGTACCGATTGCCCTCAACAGTGGTTCCATCAGTGGCGGTGGTCACCTCCTTGTAGAACAGGTAGATGTTGTTGCACTTCCCGTGTGTCTGATGCAAAATTAAACAAGAAATAAAATAAATATGTGGTGATACAATGTACCGCTGTGCTTGCAACACTTGAGGCTGATCCGGCCTTCTTGAGAGACAGAGGGTGAGATGGTAGTGGAGGTGCCTCAGTGATGATGATCAATGTCAGCATGTTGACAACCTGTACTTCATTGTTTTCAGCATCTTCGACTGTGGCACGCTGACAGGGCTTCTTCGCGGTGGAGAGAGCAGCACTGGAGGACTGGCGGCGCTTGGAGTGCTTACGCGACACACCACCTGGGATAGTCTTGGCTGGAAGCATGTTGGCGAGCTAGGTAAATAAATAAGTGAGAAAATTGTGAGAAGAAATGAAATGAGCTATGCACCTCTGTGTTCGTAACAAGCCTTCCCTCAACATCACTCCTGCTGTCCATTGTTTCTGCATCTGAGCTCAAGTCAATGGCAAAAGTTCCATCTTCAGCATCGGTGTCGGGATTTGCTGCTTTCGTCTTCTTCTTGTGGCGGTGCTTTGGCTGAGCAGCATCCAGCTGGCCATCATTGTCAAACTGGTCAGACCGAACAGAGGCTTGGAAGCGAGCGATCAATTTGACACACTGACCACGACCCATAGCTGAAAGTAGCTGGTTAGGACAGAGGCACATACTTGTAGGTGGAGACATACATTGGGCTGGGACAGCAGGAGGGAGGGGCTCCTTATCATCAATGTCGTGATAAAATGTAATCTTGCTAGCATTGAGAAGTTGGCCATCTGGGCCAACAGCACAATGGAAGCAGGAGAATTGAGCAGTGGAAGAAGAAACAATAGGCGACGACTTACAACAAGAAGAGGGATGGCTTATAAGGGCCCTCAGGACACGCCTAGTTGGAGCGCTCGTTCCGTGCAAGAGGTGCACTGAGTCCAAGAATGCTTGGTACAGCCATGACCAGCCAGTGGGGCTTGAAATCGATGTCGATGAATGCTTGAGGAGGGCAAGATTCTGACATGAGGGGATAAGACCAAGTGAGAGGTGAAATTTTGCATTGCGCGATTATCAAGATGAATTTCCCATGATCACATGCACCCTTTATTTGATTAGTACACAAGATAAAGAACATTCAACTTGTAGATTATTCTAGAATCATAACTGCACAAACCCGGCTCCCTGTCGATGGGTTGGAGCGGACATCTATGCACAGCTTTGACAGGGGCTTGAATGCTTCAAGCTGTCCCGGGTTAGACACCCCAGGAACAGCTTCGGTTTGGCTACCCATCCCATGCGTCGGCTGCCATCTACTGTCACACACAGGTTTGGCTGGCAGCCCTAGAACTTGTGGCATCAGAAATCGTGACAAATAGTGATGCCCATTACGATGTTATCGTAGGTAGCATCGACACTTATAGAAACTTATTGTTACTAGTAGACAGTCACGAATGGTGACCAAAAGTGACAAAGCAGAATTGAGGCAAATTGCAGCCATTTGTCACTATTTGGTCCAAATGTCAAAGAATCAGGAGTATTTGTAAGAACTAGTGGATAATAGCTAACGATTGTCAATGATTGTCACTGATCGCTCACGTTCGTGAAACAAAACCAATTTCGTGTATTTTTGTCCAGCATGGTCAACCATACACATTGCTGATTTGGAGGCCCTACTCAGAATGCGACATATGTAAGGGATGAGGATAAGAACCACATTTTTGGCACCCACAGTTGGCGCCCACACAAGGAAGGGCTTTTGGGGCCCTCCCATGTATGTAGAGAGCGGTAAATAATATCTTGCTGATAATTTGAATGCCGACATGTAAGTCATGATTGAAGCTGAAAGACTGGAACAGTAATTCTGCATCATGATGGCAGTGTGCTCACTGCTTGTACATGGTCCGAGTTCGATCTAAGATAAGATACTGTAACTCCGGTATGATTGATGCACCGAAATTCTCATCAAATGACAACACAGCTCTGTGGGTACTAGCCAAAGCCGATATAACAGCAGGTCCAGCAGAGGACTAAGTACGTTTTCCCCACAAGATGCCCTCTCCCTGACTGCCACTAGAGTTGCTTTATGCCATCATCAGTCATCTCGGTGCCAAGAAAGACTACCCCTCACTATGTGCATTTGCCTCAACATGTAGAGCACTTGTTTCCCCCTCTCAAGCTCACATTTTTTGCTCCTTGACCTTAAGAAAGGAGTCCTGGACCATCCCTTGGCTGGCCATCTATACCCCATATTTGGACATACTTCAATCATCTACTTCTGGCTGAGTATCACAGGCCTTGGATCCAGCACTCTGAGGTGCTGCATCGTACATTGGGGTATTTGTCTCCATATGTCGTTTCCCTCGATATCCACCATCAGAGGTGCAAGCTAGAAAGCACGCACTTCGACTTTCCTGTGTTGTCACAGCTAAAATGCATCAAAGAGATTTTGCTGACAGAGCTGGATCTGGAAGGTCAGGGAGATATCATGGAGGGGGATAACACTCTCCCCAGGTTCTTGAATCACTTCCCAAATCTGTGAGGAATCACTTTTGCTGGGTGCTGGGTGTGGGTCCAAGGCGCTGACAGCAAAAGCGACATTGCTGCTCCAGTATTCCGGTTGGAGAGGTTGCACATATACACATGCTACGATGCTTTGGTGTTGGACTGGCTCGTCCCGGCTCTGTCATTGCTCAAAACCCTTCATATTCAGTACATGGACACAGATATCCCAATTTTCAGCCCCACTGTGCTACCGCAGCTCAAATCCCTGGAACATGTGGAGGTGAGAAGCTTGAATTATGCCTCCAATGCAGGTATGTTATTCTTTTCTGTCCATGCTCGCTGTGTCACTAATGCAGTTATTGGGTAGAGTTGCAGTTATTAATGGCTGCAGTGGCGCACACCATCAATCTATGCTCCATCACCTTCATGACCTCTGGATCCTCATCTGGGCATTCCCTGGTAGAGCAGTGAAATCCCTTCTCTTCCTTGGTGCACATAGGCATCTACAGCACCTCACCATCGGATTTTTTCAAGAGGACGACTCTGTGGACGGTAGCCCATGGGATGAGTTGCAAGACCTTCTGCTTGGGGGCCTTTTCCCAGTGTTGCGGACCATCAAGTTTCTCTTTTAGTTGGATTCATCTGGATCCAATGCTATGTCTACGGAGTGTTTCATTGCCACCATCCCTCAACTTGCCCAGAAGAATATGGTATATGCATGTTATGGCCAATGACAATGTACCCACTATGTAGTAGCCTTGTTATTCCTTCTCCCCTGATTATTTCCCGCCTCCACCCCAGATGCCCATTTGAATTCTCCCCTCGTATGCTTCTCTTACACTCTGAACTTCCCCCTTCCTCCCGAGTCCCAACCTTTGTCTCATTGGCCCACATATGATCATTTTTAATTTCTATGCCTTCATTATTCGCTCCTCTCAATGAGTGTGTCCATTGCCATTGAAAATATGGAGGGCCAAGATATAGAGGATAATTTCAGTATACAGGTGGGACTTTTAGATTGCCTCTACATTTTTCTGCCATTCATCACACGGAACAGATCCAAGCGCGTAAATTAGCTACTATTCACCAACCGCCTACAATATGTGAAACCAAACCCTCAAACTGGTTGGGGTTTGAAAATTTGACGTATTGTTCTGACACTAGACATGCTGAGTGGATGTGGGGAGAGAGGCCCAATGGCTGACAGTACGCCTACTACCGTTCCCCCATCTTGTTTACTTCGCCAAACTGACCCCTCTGTGAACAGAGACCTAATGTTGTGTTGTAGGACTCAACTATTGAACACGTTGGGACCATGTTGGGACCAACTCCTCCCACATTGTATGTAGCCATGAAAGATGACCTACTTCACGGCAAAGAGATTTGGAGGGCAGGAGAACATGTACATGTTCACAAGATGGGAGGATGGCCCCTTCGACTATCTGAGGCTCGCCAGCATTGATTGCGACCTTGTCTCCATGTCGCACTCCTCATTCTACAGGATTTCCTCCACCATCCCCTGTGGGAGAGTGCATCCATGCCCACCGCGCCTTTTTGCTCCTCTGCCCTTGCCCATTTCCCCCACAAATCTCTTGCTAGACACCTGCACCGCTTATCTTCTACTCATTGGTGCTCATCATTTCCCCCTCCCCCTTCCCCCGAGTTCTCTACATTTCCTCACAACTGCCACCTATGAAGGGTTCTTGTTTGGCCATCCATACTTGTTGCTGAACCTCACGCTCCTCAACTTGATTGGCATCTTCTATTCCAAGAACTTGACCGGAAATTCAATGCCAACATCCAATGTTCAACCCCAAATGTCTGATTCTCAGACCTCAGAGCCCTGTATCCATTTCTCAGCTGCGACGCTCAGTGTGTTCCTTCTTTCTTCAAATCAATCCATTTTATTTCTTTTGCCAATCTTGTTCAAACCTCAGACCGTCGACATAGCTCTTATTAATAACTCCAACTTAATCCAACCTGTGCTGCAAGATTTCATGGCAATATTTGCTCCTGAGGAAATTTTGTCGGTTGAGAATCAAGACTGGACAGATGGACGGGGACATGGAGAGGACGAGCCGTGTGAGCCGTCTGGTAAACATGGTGGAAATTTGACATTGTGCCTTGTTCATGGTGAGGGATAGCAGTGCATCACAGAGAGTCAAGGTTTTAATGATGTACTTCATGTCATTCTCATAAGTTGTTTCTTGCTCACACTCCCATAGATAAAGTCCATGCACCTTCAACAAGTTCTTTGAAGCATTCACCACCTGCAGCATAAGCCGCGCCTAGCCGACCAACAACCCTCTGGCCCAGAGATGGTCACAACCATGAGCCAGGTCATCCTCCAAGGCAGCTCGCCGTAGGCATCGTGTGGAGTTGTAGGGGTGAAGGAGATTCACAAGGAACCGCAAAGGGCGGTGTCTGGTGTGTGGCAGGTAGATGAGAGTATGGACGGGCTGACCAACTGTCATCAACAGATAAGATATCAGAGTCTGCCTACAGGAGACTATGAAGAGTCTTCCTTCTCCAGCTGAGACCTTCAGAGAGCCTGACAGAGTTCAAGTTCACTTGAATGTCAATCTGGGGATGTGTCAATGATGAGTGGAGAAGCTCGGAAGTACGGAAGTACAGCATGGAGCGGACATGGCTTGATAGTATTAGTAAGAGGAGAGGCGGGCAACGAATGCAGTGTCACAAGTGGAGGGATGAAGAAGCGGAGATGCAGGCGGGGTGTGAAGAGCTAGGAGCCAAACCTGTCAGAGTTCGAATGCAAGTAGAACCAGCAGTGGTGGCGACCGGACCGAGCCTTGAGCTTTCCTTCCACCAACTATGGCTTGACGACTTGCCAGGAGCAAAGTAACAGGGGGACCCAAGTTCACTCAACAGTATGATTGGATGGTTGGACGAGAATACTGCTCATAGATGTGTTATTTTACCCTGCGTTTGTCACTCTCGCTCATCTCATCTCTCATCCCTTCTCCTAGATCGTGTTGGGTGGTCCTGAGCTGATAGCTGCACTTCTCAGCCTCCTCGCCTATGTTAATTAATATTTCACATATGCACTCTGGGAATACACAAGACCTCGAAGATTGTACCAGCGAAAGACGGCATTGAATCGCGGAGGTCAAACCAGGATGTGGATGAAGTTTTCATGGGTAGATGCTCATTATGCAGTTGGTAGAAATGAGGCGAAGAGCCTAAGAGTCTTCTCTGTATGTTTTCCCTGTCTGCTACACTCCTTGTGCCTGGCACTTGATGCTGACATCTCACGGTGCATATAGCGACCCTTCTCAGGTTGTTATGAAGAGAAGCACATCAATGGGACCAAGATTCTCTGTCTGTTGTTGTTGCCCAATCCCCCAGTTTCTCTCCCATAATCAGCCTCAATCAGCTGCTGGAGGCTTCCTCATGCCTATCTCACTTATTCAGATGCCTCCTTCTATTCATTGGGCTCCATCAACTTCATGCCTAGCTCTTGTCAACAACATCAGTTTGTGAGACACTCTAACCAACCGTGCC